CAGGGACATATGCATTGGTTGCGGGCACATCCCCAGTAGGGAGTGTGCAAGAGGCAACTGGTCGATGTTTCTCTCTCATCGACGTTTTTAGCTATCTCTCTCCCTTCCTCTCAGTAAAAAATCAATAAAATATATTTAAAAAATAAAATAAAAATTAACACTATTCCCAAATAGGGAAGTGTTTTAGAGGTTGAGGTGATTTATTTTACTTTTATTGAATTTATTGGGGTGACATTGGTTAATAAAGTAGAGTGATTTTTAAAAAAATATATTGATTATTTATTTATTTATTTATTTTACAGAGATGAAGAGAGAGGGTTAGAAACATTGATGAGAGAGAAACATTGATCAGCTGCCTCTTGCACACCCCCTACTGGGGATGTGCCCACCACCAAGGTACATGCCCTTGACCGGAATTGAACCTGGGACCTTTCAGTCCACAGGCCGATGCTCTATCCACTGAGCCAAACCGGCCTCAGCATCTTAATAGTTGAAAATCATAAAGAGGCTTGGTTGGTAGAGGCTATATCAATCTGGAGATCTTTAGTGCTATACTATAGAACCTTGGCTGCACCCTATTCAACATCTATCCATAAAATTGATGAAGATATGAACTGTTTGCCAAAGCAAGTAGCCAGATTAGAAGGAAATCAAAACATCTCTACAGGTTGAAACAATGGAAGAAATCTTGCAAGATAAAAGAGGCTCATTGAGGAAATGAGCTAGATGTCTCTTGAGATCCTTTTACTTTTGAAATTCTGAGATTCTATTTCCAAAGAACATTGGTCCTTCTTTAAATACCTTCGTCTTCTAATTTTTTGAAGTTTAATTACTCAACAATAATCTACATAAAAGCACCCAGTATTCCTGAAACATAGTAGCTAATTTCTTTTTGTTTCTCTGCCCCCAGTCCCCGATCTGATTAAAAATAGCTCAAGTAGAAAACAGTAAGCCAAAGCGAGCCAGTCAGAGGTTTCTTTCATTGAGGAAGGAGTCTTCTCTTTCAACTTAAAAGTATAGGAACCACAGTACGCATGTGTAATCAAACCTAAGACACCAGCATTTGTAAGGCATGATTATTATTTTATTTATATTTTATTGATTTTTACAGAGATGAAGGGAGAGAGCCAGAGAGCCAGAAACATTGATGAGAGAGAAACATCGACCAGCCGCCTCCTCCACATCCCCCACCAGGGATGTGCCCGCAGCCAATGCACATGCCCTTGACCGGAATCGAACCTGGGACCCTTCAGTCCGCAGACCGACGCTCCACCACTGAGCCAAACTGGTTTCGGCAAGGCATGATTATTTTATGTGTCACTAAAAATGCTGCCAGGTACAATTTAATACTTGACTTTAAGACATCCCAATTTCAGAGAGATTAAAATGTGAAAGAAGTACTCACACAGAATTAATGAAATATATTTTTGTATGAACAGAAATGGTAACGAACCTCAGCACTAATTGGTTTTAAATGGGGATTATAATTATAGTCACAAAAGATATAAGAATCTCCACTGATAATCAGGTTTTGTGTTTTATAGGCAACTAAATGTTTGGGCTAATTTGTAGCATTATTTGCCATACTAGAAGTTTCTGAATCTGCCTAATTGAATATGTGGGCTGCAACACCTTTATAAATTGTGGTATAGTTAAATAATCGACCTCAGAGAAAGCAGCTCTAAAACTCAAAGTTCAGGAGTCTTTTTTACTAGGGTGTCTGTGTTCCTATCAAAATGATTTCATTGGCAAGCACTGCAATAAAGATTTGAAAGACTTCTGACTAAGGGGATATTTGGGGGAGAGGCTGGAGTCTAGGGTGACTTACAGGTTTCTGGTTTGAGCAACTCTGGTGGTGGTGATACTGAGATTAGAATTGGAACAGAAGCCGAGACCGGTTTGGCTCAATAGATAGAGCATCGGCTTGGGGACTGAAGGGACCCGGGTTCGATTCCCGTCAAGGGCATGTACCTTGGTTGCGGGCATATCCCCAGTAGAGGGTGTGCAGGAGGCAGCTGATCGATGACTCTCTCTCATCGATGTTTCTAACTATCTCTCTCCCTTCCTCTCTGTACAAAATCAATAAGATATATTTAAAAATAAAAAAAAGAATTGGAAGAGAAGAAGAAAGGGAACTTAAGTGTCGGTACTTGTCACCATCACACTCTAGCTATTTTGTTCAGGCTAAACATGATTTGCTGTTTTCTGTTGATCAAGATGGATCTGCGTGTTGTCTCTCTGTTAATGATTTCAGGATCATAATTAGATTTAAAGAGATCTTAAAAATCAATTTACATACACCTGCTCTTCTATTGTTCCCCCAAATCAGTGTTTGAAATAACTATCCAGGGAGATTAAATTGCTTAACCTCTCTCAATTTCCACAATTTTAAAATGGAGATTATCTACCTCAGAGAATTAAATCTGATAATAAAGTACCAGTGCCTAGAAAGTGTTCAATAAATAACTCCTTAATAAATATCAGCTTAAAAATAACAAAATTGTACAGTTGTGAAATAAATTTGTATGTAGTGACCAGCAATTTAAAGTAGAATGGGATACATTACATGTAGTATGTGTATTATTTCATAAGGTGCCTGTTTCCATTTAAATGTGGGTTCATATGCATGTGTGTGTTTTGAGGCACGATGTGAAATGTATTACTGTGGAACAGGTGGAAAACACCGCAACACAATTAGTTGTTTTCTTGCTTTGAAGATTTTTTCATGTTGAAAGATGATGATCATTATTATTAGTGTTGTTAAGAACCCGGGGATATTTTCTCGCCATTGATTTTCAAAGAGAGTGGGAGGGAGGGAGGCAGAGAGGGAAACATCCATGTGACAGAGACACATTGACTGGTTGCATCCCATACTCGCCTAGGGGGTGGAAGCCCCAACCCAGGTACGTGCCCTGGAACTGAATCCCACCTGCGACCCCTGGTGTGTGGGCAGGCACACTAACCATCGAGCAACCCGGCCGGAGCACTGACCTTATTTTTAAAGAGACCACCTCTCCGTCAAAGCCTTGGCAACTATAAAGCACTGTCTGTCAAATATTTTTATTTACAACTCCTAGCACAATGTTTTGTAAATAGAAGGTGCTAAATAGAGTACGACTGAACCAGGCACTTAGAGATAGTATGAAAAATAAAGAGTATTTTAGAAAGTTCTTAATCTTTCCTGGGGGACCAGTGTTCTTTGAGTTGTTGCAAGTTTTGGACCCTCTTTGCATAAGACACGCCACGCAGCTCGCAATTCCTGCCCATTCCAGGGAATTCCCGAATCTCCATCGCGCTCTAAAGATCCACAGACCCTAACTTAGGAACCCTGAGATGAGAGGTTTCCCTTCTGACTGTGTGTGAGGAGAGAGAAGGAAGGCTCGGGATTAGATGACTTTTTAAACTCGCCTACAAACCCTAGGATTCTAGAACTTTGGTGCAGGGAGGGCAGAGGCAGCGATGGGAGAAGAAGTACAGTCTGTTCCGGTCCAAGAACTGCGGGGACAACCCTAACGCTGCTTTTTCCTACGTGAAGCCACGTGAAGCCGAAACTGCAGTTGGAAGGGGCCCAGTGACCCGGCGGGCAGAGCCTGGAAAACACTGACGGTGAGTTCCAGACCCTCCGGAGGGGAAAGTGGGCGGAGCCAGCGGCGGCGGGGGTGGGGGGAGGAGGAAGGGGCGGGGCCGCGCACGCGCACCGCGCCGTCCGCGCCGCCGTCTCCGGGTTTCCTCTCGCCGCTGCTCTTCCTTTCAGTCCACTACGGTGGCCGACCGGAGCCAGACGCTGGGGATGAATGAAGGCGCTGGGGTGCAGGTTGAAACAGTCTCCTCCGCTTTCTGCTCCCTTCAGCCCGGGTTCTGCCATTTACGCGGAGGCCCCATCCAGTCCCCCCTCGCACCGCTGACCCGGTTGGCCCCGGCGTCAGGCTTCGGGGTGCCCGGGTCGACTCGGGGCACAGCTAGGGTCGGGGAATCCCCGTGATCGCCTAGGCCCGACTTCGGACCGCGCTCTCGATTTCTGCCGCGTCCCGCTTGGAGGACGCGGACGCGGGCGGGACCCCGGGAGGTTGGAGGGTGTATCGGAAGCTCTGAAGCTTCCGCGTCTCGGACCTCAGCGCGTCGCCCGGCCCCGGGGGGCAGCCCGCCAGCGTCTCTCAGCCCGAGGGGCTGGCTGGTTCTCGTTCCCCCGGGGCGAGCCCCAGGAGCGCACAGGGCACCTCTCCGCTCCTCAGCCCGCCCCTCTGGGAGAAGCCAACTCCTCTTGCTGAAGAGCGAAGCAGCGTTTCTGCCCACGACTCTTACCCATGATGGCTTTGGCTTACTGTCCCCTGTCTTTTTTAAAAAAAAAAAAATTTTTTTTTTTTTAATGGCTCTGTTTACTCCTGAGGACTGAGAAGTGCCCAAGTGGGACTCATCTGTGTCCCATAGCGAATTGCACCTCCCACCTCCACAGCTGGTGTTTACCCAGGGGACACGGGATAGTGAGTGTTCAGGCCTCCGGAGTTTTGAATCTGACATTGCTTTTGGCTACTGAGGCCATTTACCCATGCCGACCCCCGGAGTGTGGGAAGAGAAGGTTGGCATTCTTTAACCTGTTGGCTAGGCATGTGAGACAGAAGAGGAGCATTCTTCACCATGCCGCCGCGGGTTTATTTTTTTACGGGTGGCGCTCCTACGACTGGGGTAATGGAGAAAGCTTTGGGCTGAGATATAGCAGATGAGGATTCATTCAGCCTTGGCTTTTGCCACTAACTAGGGATGATACTATGGGCTTGTTACTTAGTCTCTCTGCTTCCTATCCCCGAGGCTAGAGGAGACATGAATATACTATTTTTTTTCTCATTTTCCAGATGGCAGTGGAAATGTAGGGAACGGATGGTCACATAGGGGCCTATGAAAGATAAACCACGTTTTTCAGGGTACTTAAAGGGGTATGCATACATGTGGGAGTTACATCCCTATTTTTTTTTTTTTTTTAATCATTAGGACCAACAGTGATAATGACGGAGTGTACAAGCCTTCAGTTTGTCAGCCCATTTGCTTTTGAGGCAATGCAGAAGGTGGATGTTGTTCGTTTGGCATCTTTAAGTGACCCAGAATTAAGACTTCTCCTGCCCTGCTTGGTGCGGATGGCACTCTGTGCTCCTGCTGACCAGAGCCAAAGCTGGGCCCAGGATAAAAAGCTCATTCTCCGCCTTCTCTCTGGAGTGGAAGCTGTCAACTCCATTGTTGCGTTGTTGTCTGTGGACTTCCATGCCTTGGAACAGGATGCCAGCAAAGAGCAGCAGCTTAGGTAATGCTATGATATCCATATGTAGATTGGGACTTACCTGGGCTTGCCAAAGAAGAAGGCATCTAATATCTTTTGGAGCTTTTAGGGCTTTTTATTGGATGCATGCCAAAAAGAGAAGATTGAGAGTCTAAACTTTGGAGAGCATTTTACTTAGGTTTTTTTTTTTTCTACTTAGAGTTAAAACGCTTTTGAATTTCCATATTATAAAATGTTGTGTAGAGAAGTTTCAAAATATACACTATTGTATTCAGTCTACACTGATTAGGCCAGTTACTCCCGGTAGGAACTGGGTAGAGTAAGTTCTCCTAGAGCAGTGGTCGGCAAAGAGCATGCGGCTCACGGCTCTTTGGCCCCTTGAGTGTGGCTCTTCCACAGAATACGTGTGGGCATGCACGTACAGTGCGATTGAAACTTCGTGGCCTAGGCGCAGAAGACATTTATTGGCTCTTAAATGTCAATCGTATTTTTTTTTAAAATATATTTTTTATTGGTTTTTCACAGAGAGGAAGAGAGAGGGATAGAGAGTTAGAAACATCGATGAGAGAGAATCACCGATCAGCTGCCTCTTGCACACCCCCTATTGGGGATATGCCCACAACCAAGGTACATGCCCTTGACCGGAATCGAACCCGGGACCTTTCAGTCCGCAGGCTGATGCTCTATCCACTGAGCCAAACCAGTCCTGGCTCAATCGTATTGTTGATATATGGCTCTGTTGACTGAGTTTGCCGACCACTGCCCTAGAGTAGAAGAATTAATTGGAATCATCCGAGAGGTTTTTTAAGTTTTCATTGAGTCTCTAAAATTCTCGGCAGAGGTTTTTGTTCCTCCCTGCCCATTGTGAATCCAACAATGTGCCACTGTTGTTAATGGAAGTGGGTATTAACTATCATTTGTGTTGGAGTCTATACATTGGTTGCAAATTCCTGAAATAAATGGCAAACTAAGTAGTAATTTCATACATTCATGAAATGTATGAATAGAATCCATATATTCTTTTGTAGATTATTTCAATAAAAGATAACCTTTCTGCTATTTCTATGCCACTGTTCTCATAATTGTTGATTTACACTTTGTTAGGCATAAACTTGGAGGAGGCGCTGGAGAGAGCATCCTGGTATCCCAGCTTCAGCATGGACTAACGTTAGAGTTTGAACACAGTGATTCACCTCGTCGATTGCGTCTTGTGCTTAGTGAGCTATTGGCAATTATGAACAAGGTACATTTATTTGAATTACAGCTCAAAATATGCATGAAGCAGAGACAAGAAGGCAGGCAGGGTGCATCTTCTACACATATTTCTGTTTGTTATATAAGTGCTCCTTTCAAAGGTTGAAATGCTATTAAATACCTGCCTTAAAGACTTTCTTTCTCTTATTACTGTTTTCTCTCATGTATGACTATTCTGTGTTCTCCAGCATAGGAATTTTTTCTATATGGAGTTTATACAGTGGCTTCTTGACAGTTAGCTAAGCTGACCAAATGTGATTATACCATTATAGGATACAATTTCCCCCCTAAAATGTTGTGGTGTATAACTGAAAAAGTGTACACAGTTTCCTCAGCTACTGGATGAGTATTAATTACCTCTATGTAACAGTGAGTAGGGAATATCAAAGCTGAGTTGGATGGAGGGTCCTTGGCTAGCTTTACTCACTAGATGACTAAATTGCTTCTGTACAGTAAAGGCTATTCAACTTCTCGTGCGAGCAAAATGGTAGATTATTTTAGGTTATGGACCTTTGGGTAATTATGGTTAATTGAAACTCTAAATTTTAAATTTGTGAATACCAGGGTTCTATCATTCAAAGAACTAAATTAGAACTTAATAGTAAGATGGATTAAATGAGATTAGGTCCAAAGTTTTAGGGGAAAAGTTATTTACTGTTAGATTTCAAGGTGAGTTAATTTATAATAAATAAAGTTTTATAAATTGTGGCGGAAAGAAGCCTCCTGAAATTCTATTCTAAATAAAATACTTGATAAGGGGAGAGAGGCTTATCAATTTTAGATAGTTTTAAAGATATGTTAAAATATCTTTCTATTACAATTATTTTATTCTACTCTTTTCTATTATACGAAAAACTTTAATTTCAACTGGTATTTCTCCTCCATATTTTTCTCAATAACCTCACTTGATGTCTTTAATTAAAAAAGTGACCTTTCTGTTATGGAAGGCATATTGGAATGTGGTGATAAAACTACTGTAAGAAATTTTTTAAATATTAGGTACTTTTGTTGACTTAAGGTTTTTGTTTTTTTTTAAATATATTTTATTGATATTTTACAGAGAGGAAGAGAGAGGCATAGAGAGCTATAATAGAAATGTCGATGAGACAGAAACATCGACCAGCTGCCTCTTGCACACCCCCTACCGGGGATGTGCCCCAACCAATGTACATGCCCTTGACCGGAATTGAACCTGGGACCTTTCAGTCCACAGACCGACGCTCTACCACTGAGCCAAACGGTTTTGGCTTGACTTAAGTTTTTATTCTTTGTTTTTCTCAAAGTTCATTCAGAATTGATCATGAATTTATATTTGTTATGCTACTTTAAGTTTGCACTTTTTTTTTTACTTTTTTCAGCTACAACTTATATAGGTAGCATTTCTAGTTCATTTCTTTGGATAGTCTTATCTTCAATTCTAGATGTCCTCCAAATATTTATATAGACATAAATTATAGAAACCCATACTGCCATGTCTGAATAATAATTAAGGCAATTGTTAATTGGTTACATTGGTTCAAATTTATGGAATACTGAATATTCTGATGCTGTGTATTAATGACATATTAAGAGATGTGTATAAGCTGAACAAATAATTACAAATTAGTAAGGAATTTGATTAATTACCTAAAATTAATAGAGTTCATATATATATATTTAATTTAGGTATCTGATTCCAGTGGAGAATTTTTTATCAAGTCATCTGAGCTGTTCGAGAGTCCAGTCTATTTGGAGGAAGCTGCAGATGTACTTTGTATTTTACAAGCAGGTACTGTAATGAATGCTAAGATACATTTCAGATATAGTTTTTTGTTAAATGATACTGTATCGCTTCTTAACCTGGAAAGTAAAAAATTAAGTAAAAAATGACTAATAGTATGCTCTGTCTGGTGTAGCTCAGTTTATTGGAGGTCATACCAAAAGGTAACAGATTTTAAACCAATTGTTTCTCCTTTTCTTTCTCCCTCTCCTTCTCCCCCCTCTTTCTCTCAAATCAGTAAAACACATCCTTGGGTGAAAACTAAAAAAAACCAAAAAAGCCCTGGCCAGTGTGCTCTGTGGTTAGAGCGTCAGCCTGCACACTAAAGGTTTCGAGTTTGATTCCCAGTCAAGGGCACATTCCTTGTTGTAGGTTCAGTCCTTGGCCCAGGTCAGGGTGTGTGCAGAAGGCAACCAATTGATGTGTATTGCTTACATTGATGTCTGTCTGTCTGTCTGTCTCTGTCTCTCTCTCTCTCTCTCTCTCTTTCTCTCTCTCTCTCTCTTTCTTTCTCTCTCTCACTCCTCTTCTACCTGCCCCACACTGGGGACCAAGCTCATAAACCCAGGCATGTACCCTGATGGGAAATCGAACTGTGATCTCCTGGTCCATAGGTCAATGCCCAACCATTGAGCCACACTGGTCGGGTAGAACTGAGCTATTTTTAATTTTAATTAATTTAGATTTAAATAACCACAAGGGGTTGGTGGTTGTCCTACTGGACACTTCAACTCTACACTATGAAAAGAAATTGCTTTAATTTAATTTCTTTTAAATGACATCAGTGAAATGTCAAAAGATGTGTAATGTAAATATTATACAATGAAATGTCACTCTTTAGTAGTAACATTGTCTTTGTTTTCTCATAGAGCTCCCTTCCCTGCTTCCTATAGTTGATGTAGCTGAAGCCTTGCTACATGTTAGAAATGGTGCCTGGTTCTTGTGTCTGTTGGTGGCCAATGTTCCTGACAGTTTCAATGAAGGTAAATATAATTTTGAAATGAGAAATTAAAGAGATTTACTTGGGCATATAAGGACCTCTGTTTGAGCTAACAAGAAACATTTATGGGGTTTTATTTGAGATTTTTTTGTCTTTTGAAAGTTTATTAGTGTGCACTAATTCTAGAAATACTGAATTAAGAAGTTTCAAAATTGCTTTGAGATTAACATTTGAAGTACAGTGAGTATACAGCAAAATTTTTTTTTTGCTATTAGTCACCGGCGCTATAATATCACAATAAAAAATACCAAAGGACTAGAAGATATAATCCCGATGCTCAGGGAGCAAAGAGGAGAGGAGACTTCTATCTGTGAAATAGCCAAGGAGCAGTCAGTGCATAGTATCTATAATCAGAAATACCAGCAATTAGGCCATTGTTTTTTTAGCCTTATTGCTATTGGTTTGCAGAAAAGTGTAGGATAGAAATGAAGAAAAATCAATTGAAATTTTTCATGTCTATTTCAAACTACTAGTGATTGAAGATTATTGTTTGGGTCTGAGTGATATAAAAATAAAAACATTGTTGAGTAAGGAAATTTGGGAATTGGGAGCCAAGGAGAAAAAAACACTGGATCTGGGGTCATAATTTCTAGCTTTGTCAATTATTCTTCATGTGATTGCCATCAAGATACTTCACGTCTGTGAAATGGAGATTCTGATAATGTTTCTCTTACATTTCTAACAGATTATCACATGATGTGTAAAAGCCCTTTAGAAGCAGTGTCCTTGCTAATTTTCTGTCTGCTTGTTCTAGTAGTTACTGAGGGAAGGGTGTTGATGTCTTTAGACATAATTGTGGATTTCCTTTCAGTTTGTTGAGCCAGCAACTTGGGCATGTGCCCTGACTGTGAATCGAATTGTGATCTTCTGGTTCATAGGTTGATGTTCAACCCTCACTGAGCTATACTGGCTGGGCTTGCCTTCGTTTTTGAAAGATATTTTCATTGGGCATAAAAGTTTAGGTTGGCATTTTATTTTAGTTCTTTCAAGATGTCATTCTGTTCTCTGTGGTAATTTTTATTTCTGTTCTGTATACAATGTTTCTTTTTGCCACTGGCTATATTTATTTATTTATTTATTTATTTTTCATTCATTCATTCTGGCTACTTTCTTTGTATCACTAGTTTTCAGAAATTTGATAATGATGTGTCTGGATATGATTTCTTTGTGTATATCCTGCTTGGAGATTACTGAGTTTCTCTGGGTTTTTAATTTAATTTTCATAAAATTTGGGCAAATATATTTTTGTCTTCTATTCCCTTTCTCTTTTTGACTCCTTGGTATTGTCCTTCAGGTCACTGTGCATATTTTAAGTCTCTTTTTTATTCTTTCCTTTATTTTTACCAGTTTCTTTTACTACGCTTTCAAGTTTCCTAACTCTTTTCTTCTGTAGTGTCTAATCTGCATAAAGTGATTGCTTCTCAAGGCTGAAAATTTTTTTTCTAACTTTACTTACAAAGCTTAAAGTAATAGAGGCTATTGAATGTTCAGTTTGTAGAGGCCTGATCAAAAATGGAGAACGACAGGATGAAGAAAGTCTTGGAGGAAGGCGCAGGACAGACGCCTTATGCTTCTTATGTAAAATGAACCCTTCACAGGCCCTCAAGGTCCGAGGCATGGTGGTAAGTGGTCTTATTTTTATGAGACAAAAGACTTTATATGAGGACCAGAAACTCTTCCCAAGATGTTTTGGAATCGTGTAAAAAGTTATAATTATATCCTGGTTGTATTATCTTCCTCTCTGGGTTTTTATGTTTTGTGATACTTCTTCCTCTAAACTTTAGAGCCTTTAGATTCTGAAGCATCTGGCTCTTTTCCTTAAGATACTGAGTTCATTTTGTCTTCTTTGCTGTGTTAGGTGGAAGAATGTCACTTGCCAGGCCTTGGAGTAGCTTTGACATTGGATCATACTAAAAATGAAGTTAGTGAAGATGGAGTGACTGACTTGGTTTGTTTTGTTAGTGGTTTGCTTCTTGGAACAAATGCGAAAGTCCGGACTTGGTTTGGAACTTTTATCCGAAATGGACAACAGGTGAGGGATAAATATCTGTATAAGTTAAGGGTCAGGATATTTTGGCAGTTAGTAAAAGAGGAAGAAACACTTTGAGAATGATGTCATTAGACCAGTGGTTCTCCAATTTCTTAGCTCAGGACCGTCTTAACATTAAAAAAAAAAAATCATTGAGGATACCAAAGAGCTTTTGTTTATGTGCTTTCATCTATTGCTACTTATCAGATTATAAATGAAAACAAATATTTGAAATATTTATTTAAAAATAATAATCTATTCAGTGTGAACATAACATTTTTTTAAATGAAAAATAGCCATATTTTCCAAAATAAAAAAAAATTAATGAGAGTGGTGGTGTTTTACATTTTTGCAACTCTCTTTAATGTCTGGCTTCATAGAAACTGTTGGATAACTGCACTATAATAGTAAATAGTAATTGTAAAAATAATAGTAGAAAAGGCCAGTAATGTCTTAGTATTATTAACTAGTTAACTGCCACGATGTTTTGAATTTAATTTAAAAAGGTCTGCCACTTGCATCTACAGATGTTTATGGCGTACAAATGGTTAAGGTACACATTTTTTACCTGGTTCCCCTGAAAGCATTTGAGGATCTGCAGAGTCCTAAACACTCTTAGCTAATAGCAGAGTGTTGTTTAAATCCACGGTCTTGTGTCTCCAAAATATGAGCATTTCCGTAGCACATGTGACTCCATTAGTCATTACGTATTTGAAAGTACCATTTTAAATGATGTATTTTCAACTCAATTGTAATTAATTTAGTATATTCTGTACAACCAACCCAAATTAAGATGAGTAGAGTATTCTTGAAATGAACCAGTGAGTTTTGAGTGTGTTCGATCGGCTAAAATGAGGTTCTGCAGTTATGACAGCCTCCTGATGGGGCCGATTTCAGGTGTTTACCTGGGAGCTCTGATTAAACTTCCTTTTGACTTACTGAGAGTCCCATGCTTGCTTCTTCTTGTGGCTCATGTTTCTTACAGAGAAAAAGAGAGACCAGCAGTTCTGTCCTTTGGCAGATGCGACGGCAGCTGCTTCTGGAGCTGACAGGCATCCTTCCCACCGTGAGAAGCACCCGCATCGCTGATGAGGCTGACATGGAGACTGAGCCCCACGTGTCTGTGTACTCGGGGCTGAAAGAAGAGCATGTTGTGAAAGCCAGTGCGCTCTTACGTCTGTACTGTGCTCTGATGGGCATCGCTGGACTCAAGTACTTCATCATTTCATATTTTACCTTTTTATCGTTTTACTTTCTTGTTTCTAATCCCAAGGAAGTGAGTCAGAGGCCTTTTATTCTGAGGACTTGGGTTTTCTGATGGACTTAGTTAGTGGGCTGGCCTATATAAAGAATGAAGTCCTAAGGCAAAACTTCCTTATTTGGGATGTATCTATCTTTTTTTGGTCTGATGTAAATATAATTATCTAAATATGGGACAAGCCAAAGCAGTTTCAGAAACCTGTGACTTCACCACAGGTTGACACGAGTATAATGAGTGATCTGTGAGTGACTGGTACCTAGCCCATGCAGCTAGTTGAAGTAAAGCTTTCCTGTGTTTCCTACTATAGCGAGGTCACAAATTGATATGATGTGATTATTAAGCATAAGGTTTATCATTTAGTCAGAGCACTGTATCCTTTTGAGTAATGTCCTCAACTGTTTAACACAATCCTCACTTTGCATGGCTTTGATATATATGAATTTCAGTTATCACTTTAATTAAATTATGCTCCCTCAACATCTTATGTATCAGTTACCATGATACATTAACCACATAATTGTATAAAATACCAGCTTTGCTGAGAACTCTTTAAACCATAGATTACTGTATAAATAACATGATCAGTGGCCAATTGCATTACTTCTTTTAAAAATTTATCAGCAGTTGGTCACCACACATTGATTACTCAGTTTATGAATAGACAGCAGAGTGGGTGCTTGTATTGTTTCCTTGTCTCTGAGTGATAAACCCGTGTGACATTTTATAAAAATAGGTAGCTGAAGGAGGGGATTAGCCAATGAAGATGAAAGTGAAGCAGAGAAGCAAAAAGTGGTAATGTTGAAAGTGGCATTTGAACCAAATGTAAATAGAGGAAATAGCTGACGTGTGAGAATGTTGACACTGCTCCATTTGAGAGACCCTTGATATGCAGTCAGATACACTTGTCAACATCAATGAGGAAAGTCATTGTGACAAAAAGGATGAAGAAGTTTCAGAGGAAGTGATGCAGGCAAAAATCTTCACATGAAAGGAAGTCTCAGATACTTGATAACTGAAAGTACAGGGGATAACAATGGAAGCTGGACCAAAGTTAGAAGGGGGATATGACAGTTCATCAAGGCTTATCAGAGACATACACTCTGTGTTTAAGTTATACAATGAGAAGACGACAAAGGCTGTTCAGACTACCATTGATAGTTTTATTTTTTTATGAAGAAAACACTTTAATTCCCAATGTGTCTAATATTTTCAGTTATAGAGTTCTATATAAATATTAGTTTTACTATTTTTTATTTTCTTATGCATTATAATTGTCAGAATTTTTAATGTTTTGACAAAAATTTAAAGGTCACAGAACAGTTGAAATATTCTCCACTCGTTATTTTATTTTTTAAATATATTTTATTGATTTTTTTTCAGAGAGGAAGAGAGAGAAATAGAGAATTAGAAACATCGATGAGAGAGAATCATCAATCAGCTGCTTCCTGCACACCCCCTACTGGGGATGTGCCCGCAACCAAGGTACATGCCCTTGACCGGAATCGAACCCGGGACCTTTCAGTCTGCAGGCTGACACTCTATCCACTGAACCAAACGGGTTTTGGCTCTCCATTCATTATTAAGATCACAATGCGTAATTTCAGCTTACATGTTTTTTTTTAAAATGATTTTTGAAAAAATATTTTTTAAAAGTTGATTTTTAGAGAGAGAGGAAAGGAGAGGGAGAGAGAGAAACATCCATGTAAGCGTGAAACATCAGTCAGCTGCCTCCTGCATGACCCCTACCAGGGATTCAGCCTGCAATCCGGCATGTGCCATGACCAGGAACTGAACCAGCAACCTTTCGGTGCATGGGATGACAACCAACTAACTGAGCCACACTAGCCAAGGTATCAGCCTCCATGGTTCTTTTTATGCTTCCAGAGTGAGCAGTGCCTGTATTTGTGTCCAAGGAAGAACACTGGTTGTAACCTCAACAGTGTTGCTTTTCACAATTCAAGATGTTAAAGATTTTATAAATGGTGAGGTATTATTACAAAGGTTAAAGTTTGTATTGGTGAATGGTGAAATTGGAATGGTGAAACTGTTGGGAAGTCCCTTTTTCTTTTTCCCTTCTTCAGCTAGAAAGGTAAAGTGTAGTGATGTATTTCTTTTTTAGACCAACTGAGGAAGAAGCTGAACAATTGCTCCAATTGATGACAAGCCGTCCTCCTGCCACACCTGCTGGGGTTCGCTTTGTTTCACTCTCCTTCTGTATGCTGCTGGCCTTTTCTACGCTTGTCAGGTACCTTAATTGCTCTATTTTCTCAAGATCTGCTTTTGTTTGTTTGTTTATTTTTAAATTTTTTAAAGTTTCAATTACAGAGGACAATTCAATATTGTATTAATTTCTTGTGTATGGCATAGTGATTAGACATTTTTATAACTTACAAAGTGATGCCCCCAGTAAGTCTTGCACCCACTTAACACCATGTATAGGTATTATAATATATATTTTTTTAAATTATATTTTATTGATTTTGTATACAGAGGAAGGAAGAGGGATAGAGAGTTAGAAACATCGATGAGAGAGAAACATCGATCAGCTGCCTCCTGCTCACCGCTACTGGGGATGTGCCCGCAACCAAGGTACATGCTCTTGACTGGAATCGAACCTGGGACCTTTCAGTCCACAGGCTGACGCTCTATCCACTGAGCCAAACCGGTTTTGGCAGGTATTATAATATTATTGAATATGTTTTCTAAGCTGTACTTTATATCCTTTTTGTAACTATTTTGTAACTGCCAATTTGAATTTATTAATCCCTTCACCTTTTTTACTCAATCCCCCAACCTATCTCCCATCTGGCAAACATCAATTTGTTCTCTGCGTCTATGAATTTGCTTCTGTCTTGCTTGTTCATTTATTTTGTTTATTAGATTCCCCATATAAATGAAATCTTATGGTATTTGTCTTTCTCTGTCTAACCTATTTCACTTAGCATGAGAAAGAGAGAGAGAGAGAGAGAGGGAGAGAGAGAGAGGCAGAGACAGAGAAGAGAAAGAGAGAAAAGAGAGAGAAAGAGAAACATTGACTTGTTGTTACAACTATTTATGCATTCATTGGTTGATTCTTGTATGTACCCTGACCAGTGACCTAACCCATAACCTTGGCCTATTGGAACAATGCTCTACCCAATGACCAACCAGGCCAGGAGTGCCTTTTGCCTTTTAATTTTTATAATTATAGTTCTGTTCATCTAGTCTTCAGGTGGTTTTCTAGGGTGGTTGCTATATTTATTTAAATTTCTTGTTCAGGGTGACACTACCAGTAACTAACAGATGGGATTAGCACTCAGGTCTGTCTGGATAGGCTCTAAAGGGTGTAATCTTTCTGCTGTGTAACACTGTCTTCTTAGTAAAATGATTTAGGTGTGGCTAATAATGACCTTTTCGTTTTCTCTGCCTGGGGTAGCAGGCTCTTCAGTTGCTTTTTATTTTATCCATTTATACTACAATGAAGTAGGAGATCAAAGTTAACTTGTACTTTTCAATCTAAATCTAGGAATTTCCTTTAAAAATCATTCTTGATATACTTTTATAACCATTTTTCATATCTGATAAACTGTGGCTGTCTCTTTTTCCCTATATTGAAAAAGTATTTTTCTCTTTTTGAATAGTGATCACTTATTTTTCTACAATTTTGAGTTCTCAGAATGTTTCTATAAGTTAAATTTCACTTTCCAGGTAAAAGATGAAAATGAAATAATTAAGACTTGCAAATGAAATAATTAAGACTTTTGAGAGATTTTGACTACTTACGACCTTAAAAGCATAGGCCCTCATTCTTCGTCTCTACAACTACGTCATATCTCAGTGACAATGGTCAATTCAACACACTATTAATTTGAATTGGTATTTCAAAATAGGGAAGGAAAAAATAATTTCTACTAAAAATAATTTCAGAATGCTTCGTTACTCCTATGCTGTTTAGCTGAGTTAAACCAGTAACATTCTGGTATTTTTTACATAGTACACCTGAACAGGAGCAGCTAATGGTAGTGTGGCTAAGTTGGATGATAAAAGAAGAAGCTTATTTTGAGAGGTAAGAGGACTTCATTTGTTTCAGTTAGCTGAGTAAGTTTTTCTTAATCTCTGTTTGGAAATTCATATTTTATTTTCTGTTTCAACAGTACTTCAGGCGTTTCTGCTTCTTTTGGGGAGATGCTGTTATTGGTCGCTATGTACTTTCATAGCAATCAACTTAGTGCTATCATTGACTTGGTCTGTTCCACTTTGGGGATGAAGGTAATTTTCTTTTGTCTTCTTTCTAAAGAAGGTGTTTCTAAGGTGGACATTTTCTTGTAGTGTATAGTAAATAGATTTTCATGTAGAAGTAATTTTAATTCAGTAGTTTGAAATTTTATCAGGAGGTCTTAGAAAAAAATCACATTATGAAAACATTTATTTACCAGAATAATAGATGTTCAGTGTAGAAGCTTGGTGAACACAGAAAAGAAGGGGAAAATATAGAACATTGTTCAGAGATATCAAATATATTATTGTTAACATTCTGGTGTCTGTTCTTTCTTTAAATTGACATACATATTTTGTAATTTTAAAGAATTTAGCAATATATGATGAGCATCTTTTCATATCAAATATTCTAATACTGTATAATATTCAGTGACTCTATGTAGTCCATCATGTGGAACAGTCATGACTTTCCTAATGGACCCTTTTTTATTTGCTATGTAAATTTTCCATTTTGGGAAAATACTTAGATTAAAAACCTTATTTATGTAAATATATATACAAATATGCATGTTTATCATCAAATGCTGTTTGGATTTTTTCCTTAGGATAAAGTTCTTTGAGGCAGTTACTAACTAAAAGAATATGATGATGTTATGGTGTTTAATGAGTATTGCCAGATTATCTTGTAGAAAGATTATAGCAATCGAACTGTTTTCATTAGTAAGTGAGAGTGCCATTTTTCTTTACTCTCACCATCACTGGCATTACTGAAATTTGATTTTGTCTTTGATTACTAGTGAAAACTATGGTAAATATGATTGTCATTATTTTTATAGCTCGCAGGGTTGTTGTTTTTTAATAATTTTTCTCTATGTTGTTGTTTTTTAAATATATTTTTATTGACTTCAAAGAGGGAGAGGAAGAGAGAGAAACATCAGTGATAAGAGAGAATCATTGATTGCTGTTTCCTGCCCGCCCCTTCCTGGGGATGGAGCCACAACCCAGGCATGTGTCCTTAAATCAAACTTGGGACCCTTCAGTCTGCAGGCCCAACACTATCCACCGACCCAAACCAGCCAGGGCTGCAGTGATGTGTGTTTTTTTGTTTTGTTTGTTTTTTTGGTAATTTTAAAATTTATGTGTTTTGGCTGGTTTATTTGTTTTGTGAATCTAGGAATTTTCATGATTTTTTTTTTTACTGATTTAAAAGGCTCTCTATATATTAATGATATGCCATGATGCTGTGTATAGCATATTTCATCATTTTAAAGACATATTTTACCCGATATTGAATTGAAATGATGTGTAATGTTAATGTGCTAGTATTTCACCCCTCTTTTTCTTGAAACGCTACTAATTAAATCAGTGATGTCTTTTATAATCCTTAATGTGGAAAAGTACATTATGTTGTAATTAATTTTTCCCTGTTGTTTTTGCCACATGGAAATTATTATTTTGTGTGTGTGTATATATAGTGCTTATTATTTCTCTTGTGGTTTTTACTTTGTTGTTATGCTTAGAAATATTTTTCTTTCCTTAGGTTTATAGAAATGGTCACCTATATTTTCTTGTAGTGTTTTTGTGGTTTCATGTTTTACATTTAAATTATTCATACATTTGGAGTTTATTTTGGATATGGAGTCATGTGTACACATATACAGCAGGTCCCATAACATTGCATTGTTCATTGTCACCTTATACCATTGATGAGATGCTGTGGGAACCTAACTCTTGTTGCTATCCATTTGTCTACAGTAAAATTGGTTTCAATATACAAGGGTGAGCAAAAGTAGTTTTATAGTTGTAAGTAAATGAAACACAGAATTTATTCTTTTATTATTTATTTATTTATTGTATTTTTTGACTTCTTTGTAAACCTATTTTTGCCTGCCTCTGTTTGTCATTTCTCTCAAAGTCGCAGAACCTAACAACAGTGTTAAGTGAGGACTTATTATAAATATTCCCAGAAAGGTAGCTGCCCATTTCTCTTTATTGAAGAATCCACTTCTTCCACTGACTTGAAGTGTCAGTAATATTACTTACTAAGTACTTTTATATGTTGGTTCATTTTCTGAGGAAAAACATACTTTAATATTGGATCTGAAAAGCCACTTCTGAAATAGAGTATTTGAACATTAATATCACAGTCATTTTAGGTAATAAATTTACCAGAGAAAATTGTGTTTAATATATTTTATATCCTATGGAAATTTTTTTGGTTGTTTTAGATTGTAATTAAGCCCAGCTCCTTGAGCAGGATGAAGAATGTCTTCACACAGGAAATTTTTACTGAACAGGTACTTCTTTAACCTTTCATAACATTCTATGGGGAAAACTTGTATATCTCAGTTTAAGAGAATAATAAGGTATTTTCTGTTCTTTTTAGTTTTCAGTGATGACTTACTTAATCTTTGAAACATCGGTAAAAATAATGTCATACAAAAGCATGTTTGAAATTTATATATAATATTCTGGAGATTTTGAGTAGATACTTAAGAGTATAGTCTTAAATATTAGTGGTAGGGGTCTCACATGGTGTAATCATTTGGATTTGTCAGAAGAAAAATAAAATAGAGATCTATTTAAACCTATGGGTTGTGAGGTTCATTTTTACCTAGATTATAAACTACAGTCTAAATTCCTTATTCTTTTATTTACGTGTTCTTATTTGGCCTCAGCACTTTGTTTCCATGGTTATTCCCAAAGATATATATATATTTTTTCAGTGAAGGAGACTATTCTAAAATTTAACATTAATTCTCAGGTTCACTTGTCATATATGTTTTAACAACCGAAATATTTACATATAGTCATGGATCCATAATTGTTGCTTTTAAAAAATATTTTCATTGATTTTAGAGAGGAAGGGAGAGGGAGAGAGAGATCAATGATGAGAGAGAATCACCGATTAGCTGCCTCCTGGTTCATAGGTCAGCGGCTCAACCACTGAGCAATGCCGGCTGGGCTAATTGCTGCTTCTTTTAGGGTAATTTGCCATCTCTGTATCATAGTCTTCCTTCTCCCCTCAATGCACATACATTCCCACATAACAGTTACACATTTTAAACTAATTTGAAGACAATAGAGATCCTTGCATGACACTGAGGATAACAGTAAAAATTCTGGTTTTTATCTATGTGATAATTTATAATTCACGTTTTTCATAAAAATTTTTTCACCTCACTAAAAGATTTTGAGGCAAGTAAGTCAGTATTGTCCCATATTATAGATTTGAAACTAAACTCAGAAGATAAAATGACTTAGCTAGAGTCATTGAGCACAGATTATATGGATTCCAAATATGTCTATATATATATTCGTTAATCCTCACTTAAGGATATTTTTCCATTGATTTTTAGAGAGAGTGGAAGCAGCGGGTAGGGAGAGAGAGAAAAAGAAAAACATGGATGTGAGAGAGACACATCAATTGGTTGCCTCCTGCATGGGTCCCCACAGGGGCTAGCAATTGAACCTGCAACCCAGGAATTGAACCTGAGACTCTCGTGTGTGCAGGCTGACACTCTAACCATTGAGCACACTGGCCAGAGCCCAAATTTTATATTTTTTTAACTTACTATGCTATCATCAATATATTTATGTTTAAAAACAAGTTAAAAAATTGGAAAAATCACAAATTCCTAATTGTATGCTACCTTATCATTAAAAAATAATTAAATCATGTATCAATTGTTTCTTATTTATTTCTAAGGCCTATACTTGTATTAAATATGGACAGTCTACCTTTCAATCCTCCCTCTTTCAGAATAATTTTGTATTTAGTTCTATCATGTGCATTAATACCCGGTTTCCCTTGTAGGTTGTCACAGCTCATGCAGTTCGAGTCCCTGTTACCAGCAACCTGAGTGCCAACATTACTGGCTTTTTGCCTATTCATTGTATTTACCAGCTTCTCAGGAGTCGTTCCTTTACCAAGCACAAAGTGTCAATAAAAGTATGTTCTTACATTTATATTTTAAGCTACAACCTCAGTTAATGTTTTTTTCCCCCCAGTCCTAGTTCATTTTTTAGGCCTTTACTGTGTTTTGTATGAAATGTGCCTATTTATAAGTCATTCACATAGTCATAATAATTAGAGGAACTTAATTTTAGGTTTTTTAAGTAATAAAAAATTTAGTTATTTACAAAATATACAGTATTAATAATTCATTTATAGTCTCATTAATAGCATATGACTATTTCATTAAGCCTTAGTAAGAGATTGCCATTTTCTCTAGTTTGGTTTTATTCACCAAACTGAGAAAGTTGCTGGTCATCCATAGCCAGCTTGTACATATCTTGATAAGTTTTCAATTTGTTATATTGGTTATATTACAGTTAAAAGGTCCTCTAAGAAAAGGCTGAATCCCAGGAGGTTAGAAATCTGTCTGAACCTCTTCTAGAGGCTCTTTGATTTATAAAAAACAATGAACAATATGTGCATTTTTTCATTTTTAAATGAGCAATATGTGCATTGATATCACTTAATTATTCTTGTTTTTATGATTTAGTGAAGTTACTAGTATTTCCTAGCTAGTTGGTGACTTCTACTTTATATTCTTAGCAAGTGAAATAGATACGAATTAAGAATCCAAATGCACACCCAGCATTTCTGCATGTCCTCAGTCTGTGCAGGGAGTTAGGTGATGGTCTCTCATAAGTGGTTTTCAAAGCCACTTTCTTGATCCACCTGGGAGTTTGCTAAGTGAAGAACTATTCCTCTCCCTAAATTTCTCTTTGCTGTGAGGACTTCTACAATGACAGATATGGTGCTCTACACACAGCTATAGCAGGGACTTAGTTTTCTTGCCACTACTTAAAAACAAATAAATTAAAAACTGAAAATTCAAACTCATCATTTTAGATTTATCTTCCACTGGACAATATTTTCAATTAGATATAAAAGTAGTTCATATTTTTAAATCAAAGACAGTGTGAGATTGAAGAATATATGTTTAATTGCTAAAAGTTATTAGTGAGTTGCACTGATTCCTAAATCATGTAAAATTGTATGTGCTCTTAAAATGTCCCTTGCTTTTTCTTATTGCCATAATTGATTTAGTGCCTATCACCTTTTTTTTTAGGACTGGATTTATAGACAGCTATGTGAAACCTCCACTCCACTCCATCCTCAATTACTTCCTCTGATTGACGTGTACATAAATTCTGTACTTACTCCTGCATCTAAGTCTAATCCAGAAGCCACAAATCAGCCAGTCACAGAACAGGAGATACTTGACATTTTCCAAGGAGTCACTGGGGTAAAATAGTGATTTTTTTCTTTTACATTAATAACCTTATTGTTCTTTTAATTTATATTCTTTAACTTATTTCATTTTTCTTTTACTTATTATTAAAGGACTTCTAGGTGATTCTGAATTTAAAATGGGATTAAATTTCTTTAGATTATTTATAAAAATTTAAAGAATGATATTCCACGTATTTTGTTGAAGAGGCATTAAAAAAAATATATATTTTATTGTTTTTGTACAGAGAGGAAGGGAGAGAGGTAGAGAGTTAGAAACATCGATGAGAGAGAGTTATCGATCAGCTGCCTCTTGCACACCCCCAACTGGGGATATGCCCGCAACCAAAGTACATGCCCTTGACCGGAATCGAACCCCGGTCCCTTCAGTCCCCAAGCCAACGCTCTATCCATTGAGCCAAACCAGTCTCGGCATAAGGAGTTACTTTATTTAAAAAAATATTTTATTGATTTTTTTACAGAGAGGAAGGGAGAGGGATAGAGAGTTAGAAACATCTATGAGAGAGAAACATCTATTATCTGCCTCCTGCACACCCCCTACTGGGGATGTGCTCACAACCAAAGTATATACCCTTGACCGGAATCGAACCTGGGACCTTTCAGTCGCAGGCTGATGCTCAATCCACTGAGCCAAACCAGTTTTGGCGGGAGTTATTTTCTTTATGGTAATTTCAGATGAAACTTTAGACTCCTATAAGCCTTTTTCCAGACACAGCCTGATGGGATTTCTGTTGAGTAACAGCTGTTGCCCTTCATCTCCCATACCATCTCAAATTTAATTTAAACTTCAAGTTGTCTCCCTGGTTAATGCAAACACAGCAATGTGCCTCCCGTTTTGGGAGCAGCAATACTGAATAGTCTATTCTGAGTACTTTTGCTATCGAAAAAGCATTCATGAAATTTAAGATGATTTTAAAGCATTTCTGTTACCTCCAGAGTGACAGCACCCGCCTTAATCAGCGTTTCAGCATCACAGCACAGCTTTTGGTGCTTTACTACATCCTGTCTTATGAGGAAGCTCTCCTAGCAAACACAAAGACTTTAGGTACGTTGTGCATGGGGGATTGTTTCCAGTGATAGTTCATTTTTTTGCATATAGTTTGTTACTTCTCAAGCTGTTCCATGAGAAGGTCAGGTCACCTATTCTAACAAGCTTCAGCAGCATTCTGTAGTCTTTGCAGTGTAGGCATTGCATATATTCTGATGCATGAATACATGCATGTGTGAGCACATAACTACCCCTTCAGGCTAAGTCCGTTGGCTAATTTAATAGATAATGAAAATGCCTGTATTTTAATGATTTTAATGTCCTTATTAACTAAATGTAAATATAGAGAGAATCTCTGGAGTGATTCCTTGAGAGGTGATGGAGATGGGATAGAGAAGACAAATGGAGGGGTTGGTCCTTCCTTGGAGAATTTTTTCCCTTGGTGTAGGAGAATTTTTTTTTTTTTCTAGTCTAGTTTCTTATCTCCAAGTGGAATAAATAACTGCAGAATATGCCACAACATGGGAAATTTTTGCTATTGAATAGCCAAAAAGATAATTATCTGCCTCAAACTTATTCCTGTCTGTGAAGTTGGATTGTAGTTTCAGTACCTTGTTAACTGTTCTGTTTTGGCCCTAATAATATACATTAATAGCTACCAGGTCCTATAGAAAGCTCAAATATGGAATTCTTGTAATTTGAGATTGAATGAAGTATTAGAATATCATAGTCTTTTAAAAAAATGTATATGTGTGTATATGTATATTTTTTTCACATACATATATATTTTTGGTTTTAAAGATATATAATACATGTGTGTAGTTTTACTTAAATATTGTATTAATCCAAAAGAATATAAGAGTAAGAAATAGAGTAATATAATAAATCTCTGTGTATTAATACCCAGTTAATATATGAACATTACCATTATATTTCTAGTTTTTTTTAGGGGGTTTAAATACGTTTTTATTGATTTTAGAGAGAGAGGAAAAGAGAGGGGGAGAGGGAGAGAGAGAGAGAGAGAGAGAGAGAGAGAGAGAGAGAGAGAAACATCGACCAGCTGCCTCCTGTATGCCTCCTACTAGGGATTGAGCCAGCAACCTGGGCATGTGCCCTGACTAAAATCGAACCAATGACCTTCTGGTGCATGGAATGATGCTCAATTGAACTACACTGGCCAGTTTTTATACTTAAAAAATGTTTCCTATTTATTATATTTAAAGACTTTGTTACTAGATAATACATTTTATTTTTAGATATTTTTGAAGTTAAAGACAATAGTAATTAATATTGAACACATGAACTATTTATAAAGCCGCCAGTGGAATCCTAAATGCAATCTCATTCTTTTTTGTTTTTAATCCTCACCCGAGGACATGTTTTTATTGATTTTTAGAACAAAAGGAAGGAGAGAGAGAGAGAGAGAGGGAGAGAGAGAAAGAGGGAGTTGTGAGAGAAGGAAGTACCCAACTTCCTTTAAAAAGCATCAGTCATCACAGTAATATATGGTTAGATTAAGACTGCTGGAATAATGAGGCTTTAAGGCATGTGGTCATGACTGTATTTGGTCCTCCTGATTAGATTTGGGAGTCTAGTCTTATCACTTTTTTTTTTTTTAGTGTAAGACATTTCTGCATATGGCTTTTCTCACTCATGATTTTCCTCCCACTAGTTTTAGTTTCGAGGCATTTCCGGATCTTGCTGTTTCTCTTCCTGTGTATTTACTATTTTGGTAGCAGTCCTTCATCTTTTATGAGTTGTATTCTCAGATTAAGTGAATTAAAAGTAATTTAACATGGAGTTTCCATTTGGGTTGAAGGTTAAGATTTCTTTGTTTCTGACACTTTATTTTTCTTATGCTTTTTATCTTTGACTGACAGCTGCTATGCAAAGAAAGCCAAAATCATATTCGGCCTCTTTAATGGATCAGATTCCTATCAAATTCCTTATTCGACAGGCTCAAGGGCTGCAACAGGAGTTGGGAGGTATTTGTTTTACTTGCATTTTACTGTTAACATTCACTGTTAGACATTTTCTTCTGTTTATGTTATAAATTTAATAGATACTCAATATTAAAAATTCAGAATATTCAAGAGTGAAATTCCTGTTTGCCTCCCTCTCTAATCTAATAGAATATTCAGTAGATTTCCAGGTGTGTGATTGGCCAACACCAGGGCAGGGGTTCATTATTCCATGCAGCTGGTCCTGAAGTCAGCAGTGATCCACAGCTGTTTTGTTGCTTATCTGGACCTAGAGATGAGATACCGCTGAGGCCTAGGTGTTATCTCTAGGGAGGAAAGGTCAGAGGGTCCAAACCTCAGGGCCAGCTGTGTGCTAAGGAAGGAAAAGTCACCCTGGGGCAAGGTTCCATCCTTTGTTGTCGCTGCAGGAATGGCACCAGATGTCTGAACAGTGTGGTCAGACCAAATCAGGGTTTAGCAACTTGGGTTCTTGACTTCTGGCTAAGAAAAGAATTCCGAGCCAAGACCCAAACTTGCTAGAGAAAATTTATTTGAGCAAGCAAAGAGAAATTACTCTCAAAGAGAAATTTCCAGCGGGTGGCTGAAATAGCTGCCTATTTTGTTGTTATTGATACTAGAGGCCCAGTGCACTCAGGGGGGCTCCCTCAGCTCATCCTGTGCCCTCTCGCAGTTTGGGACCCCTCTGGGGATGTCCACCTGCCAGCTTAGGCCCACTCCCTGGGGGTTCAGGCCTAAGCCGGCAGTTGGACATCCTTAGCGCTGCAGCAGAGACAGGAGAGGCTCCTGTCACCACTGCTGCACTCGCAGCTGTTGGCCTGTTTCTGGCTGCGCACTGACCACCAGGGGGCAGCTCCTTTGTTGAGCGTCTGCCCCCTGATGATCTGTAACGACTGGTGGTTCCCAGTCATTCCACTGTTAGGGTCAATTTGCATATTACCCTTTTATTATATAGGATTATCTAATAACTAGAGGTCCAATGCACGAAATTCATGCAAAAGTAGGCCTTCCTTCTCCCAGCTGCCAGCACTGGCTTTCCTCTGGCACCCAGGACCCAGGCTTCTCTCCAGCTGCTGGCAGGCTCCCGGGACCCGGGCTTCCTTCATAGCCCGGGCTTCCCGGACATCTGGTTTAATTAGCATATTATGCTTTTATTACTATAGATTATTATTATAGTCATGAAGAGGCAAATTATGTTATAAGCAAAAGGTTGGAAACAAGACTTCAATTTAATAAAAGGAAGATTTCCCATTCCGTTTGAGTTTCCTTAACTAACCCTTTTATTTAAGTAGACTTTATTTTATTTTTTCCTTTTTAAAAATTTTATCTTTATTATTTTCATGTGTACAACATAGAGATTCAAAGTAGTCACAATAAGTTTAGTTACCATCTATCACTGTACATGGCTATTATATAATTATAATATCAACTCTATTTCCTGTGCTGTACATTATATCCTTCTGAATTATTTTATAACTGGAAATTTGTACTTCTTAATCCTTTTCCTCTTTTCCACTTGCCTCTCCTCTTTTTTTTTTTTTTTAATATATTTTATTGATTTTTTACAGAGAGGAAGAGAGAAGAATAGAGAGTTAGAAACATCGATGAGAGAGAATCATCGATCAGCTGCCTCCTGCACACCCCCCACTGGGGACGTGCCCACAACCAAGGTACATGTCCTTGACCGGAATCGAACCCGGGACCTTTCAGTCCGCAGGCTGATGCTCTATCCACTGAGCCAAACCGGTTTCGGCCACTTGCCTCTCCTCTTGAAACTGTTTGTCCTTAACCCTTCTTGAAGGAAGACAAATGCACTCTCTGTGGATATCCTCAATACTGCTTCAGTTGACCGACATACTTAGCTGTGTGACTTTGGCAACCTTTATAAATGTCTTCAACCTGTTTCCTTATAGAAGAATGGAGACAACATTGCTCTTGTGAGAATGTTAGGGTGAAATGAGAAAATGTACATAAAGTGCCTGAGGCCTTTATCTAAAAGTGGGCAACTTAAAGCATACGCATTTTCCGGTGTATAAGACGACCGGACGTATAAGACAGCCCCCTAATTTTACAGTTAAAACATAGGTTTAGGCCTGTATTCGTTGTATAAGACTACCCCCTACTTCCGAGGCAACACCAGTTCTTTTTTTAATTAAATTTTTAATGAATGACATTTTTCGAACATACCGTAATATACCGTACATTAATACGATAAATGGAAGGTCTGTTCACAAAATTCGTTTAGTGGCATATCGAGACGTTTTTTCGGGATATACTTGGCGTATAAGACGACCCCCTCGGTTAACCTTTTTTCGTTTCAAAAGTCGTCTTATACGCCGGAAAATATGGTACCCATCTATAGCTACGACTGCCACCTGGGAAGAGAAGACATGTTCTCCGAGAGAAGCCTATCAGAATTCCTGAGGGAGGCCTTTTTCATCCCTATGTGATTTCCAAGTGCTATTTTTTTTCTCCCCTCAACTCTTTTTAAAAAAATATATATTTTATTGATTTTTTACAGAGAGAAAGAGATAGGGATAGAGAGTAAGAAACATCGATGAGAGAGAGTCATCGATCAGCTGCCTCTTGCACACCCCCTACTGGGGATATGCCCTCAACCAAGGTACATGCCCTTGACCGGAATTGAACCCGGGACCTTTCCATCTGCAAGCCAGCGCTCTATCCACTGAGCCAAACCGGTTTCCGCTTCCCTCAACTCTTGAACTACTGCTATGTCAAACAACATTTCCTGGCTGGAGAGTTATTTTGGGATAGTGTTGAGGAAAGCTTGAGAACTTTTGATGACAGCAGTTTCCAATGTTCTGTGTATCAGATCACTTGGTTTTCTTAAGCAGATTCCCAAGCTAAACTGCTGTATAGAGGTTCTCAAAGTTAGTATGCATACACAAGAATTGCAGATTCCTTTGGCTGCCTGAAAATGAAAGGGAGAAGAGAGAGAGGAGAGATGATTTTGGTGTTTAAGAATGAAGAATCCAATTGACTTTTTATATATTTCTAGGGTTGCATTCTGCTTTACTCCGTCTCCTTGCAACTAACTACCCACATTTATGCATTGTGGACGATTGGATCTGTGAAGAAGAAATCACAGGCACTGGTGCCCTGCTAAGGCGAATGCTCCTGACTAACAATGCCAAAAACCACTCTCCGGAACAGCTCCAAGAAGGTACAGCAAATTGAAAGTCCTTTTATTCCTTTAGTAGAATCATGTGCCCACAACCGGTACATATCCTTGACCGGAATCGAACCTGGGACCTTTCAGTCCGCAGGCCGATGCTCTATCCACTGAGCCAAACCAGTTTTGGCAATATTTCAGTCAATTTTTAAAATCAGTCTGAATCATCAAGGAAATGACATTTGTCTTTGAGTTGCTACTATGAATTTAAAAGTAAGGTATTTTTTGTTCTCTATGAAATAATTACAGTTAACATGAATTTTTCTTAAGGTCTTTACTCTAAATATAGCCAAACTATGGCTAGGATTGAAAGTTTTACTTTTTTTTTTTTAAAGCAACATTGTTTTCTTGATTTGCTTGACATATTATAGTTTGATAGTGCAGCATTCAACCAGTGTGATGCAAGAATATTTAAAACATGTAAGACCTCTTTTCCCTTAGATTATCAAATAAAAAAAATGACAACAGCCAACACAATAACCATCAGGTTGAAGGAATAAAAATTATACCTATTTTTTGGGTCATATTGTTAAAAAAAATGTTTTGGTGTGCCACAGAATTTTGGTAATTAGTTTATGTGTGCCATAAGATAAAAAGGGTTGAGAAGCGCTGTGATAGAGCAATATTACTTCATCTTTGGTAAGCTGTATGGAATTTAGATTATGACTGCTAAGTTTTCCTTTTAGCATTTTCAGCTGTCCCAGTAAGCCACACACAAGTGATGCAGATTTTAGAACACTTGACTCTACTCTCTGCTAGTGAACTCATACCATATGCAGAAGTATTAACATCCAATATGAACCAGCTGTTGAATGCAGGGGTTCCTCGGCGAATTCTTCAAACAGTCAATAAACTATGGATGGTTCTTAATACTGTGATGCCTAGAAGGTAATTTTAGTGTATTATTACATGTAATAGATAAATGTATAGCAGTGATTATATACAATAACCTAAACTTAAATGTTAAAAAAATTGTTGAATATTTGAAGAATGTCGGTGGGTGGAGTCAACATTGGTATTCTTTTAAATGATTCTAAAGGTGATTTCAGTGTGCAGTAAGTTTGAAGAACATTGGATTAATTATATAGTCTTTAGTCAGATGGGTCTGTACTCATCCATAGATTGTATCAAACACACCTGGTCAGCTCTAAAAGATAATATTGGGCTGACTTAACCTGAGATTTTGATTCATGAGGTCTAGAAATATTTATACTTTTTAAATTAAAAAATAATTTTAGATTTTAAGTAAATTAAATTTCATATTAATTATAAAGAAATCAATTATAAATAAACTGACATAACCTATATAATAAAAGCCTAGCGACCAAATGGTGGAATGACAAGAATGACTGGTCGACCAGTCACTATGATGCGCACTGACCACCAGGGGGCAGTCGCTCAAGGCAGGAGCTTCCCCCTGGTGGTCAGTGCCTCTATAGGAAGCAATGCTCTGCTGACTGGGATGAGTGGAGCTCCCGCAGCAGGCCAGTCCCTGCAGGCCACGCCCCTCACAGTGCATGAATCCCATGCACCAGGCCTCTAAGTAAATTAAAAATGGACATAACTTTAGAAGTTAAATAGTATATAACGTCTACCTATACCTTCCTGTTTTAGAATATTATTCCCTAAAGACAACTATTTTCAGCTTTTATCTTTTTATTCTGGTATTAATGTTTCTCCATATGTCATAATAATTATGCTTATAATTACTATGATTTCCTGACTTTCTAATTTAAAAATTATATTTTGACTTCCTACTATACAAGATGAAGATTTAGTACCTGTGACTCCCTCGTCTAACAACACAAACTTTCCTTTTCTCGTAACATAGTTATCTCAAAATTTCTAAAGCAATCTTCAGTGTGCACATTATTATGACTACATAAGTGTTATTTATAATTGATCTGTGTAATATCCTTTGATTACAATTTCCTACTTATACAACTGCCTCCTCCCCACCCCACACACAAACCCTACTTGCCTCCATCCATCCACTCAAATTTTGCTTCGGTAACTTATTCATCCCTAAACTCCATTACTAGGGGAAATTGACTTCACAGTTACTTTATAACACATCAGTAACATTTTTTTCCCTGGAAACATTCCTCTCACAGCTTTTCTCATGCTTGAATCTGGGATATGCACAGTTGCCATCTGGAATCGCTTTGTCTCTGTCTCTCTTTTTTGTCGGATTCCATGTTTTTCTCTTACTCGGTTTAGTTCCTCATTTCAATGAGTGGAACTTACACTCAAGTTGCTTCCTGAGAAAAAGGTGTTGGAAGACATTTTTTTTTTTTTTTTTTTTTGAGACTTGCTTGTCTGAGGAGATTTTTATTTTTCCCCTCACATGTGATTGATATTTATCCTCAATGTAGAATTCTAGCTCATTTTTTCTTTTCAGAAATTTGAAAGCTTCATTCTATTGACTAAATTGGAGCTTCCCTATTGATGTTGAATAATGATGTTATACCAATTCCAAATCCTTTTGAAAAAAATATTTTATTACTTTCAGAGAGGGAGAGAGAGAGAAAGAAATGGAAACATTACTGATGAGAGAGAATCATTGATCGGCTGCTTCCTGCATACACCACACTGGGGATTGAGCCTGCAACCCAGGCATGTGCCCTGACTGGGAACTGAACTATGATCACTTGATTCATAGGTCTGTCAATGCTCAATCATTGAGTCACATTGGTTGGGCTTTCCTCTATTTTAAAAATTTGTCTTTTGAACATACCTTTTTTGATATTTCTTCAGTATTATCTGATCTTTCCTTTGAATTAAAAATTTTTTTGTTATATTCTTAATTTCTAAGAGCTCTGATCTGAATATTTTAGAATGCCTCCTGTTCTTGTTTTCATATATGAAATATTCTATCCTCTAAGGATATTAATTATAGATTTTATTAATTATAAAAAATTTATTTTTCTTCTCATCCAAATATTCTGTTTCTTGGAGTCCCATTCCTTCATTTGTATATTTAAATCTTTCAAAATAGAAGCATTCTTTATTTATTAATATATTTTATTGATTTTGTACAGAGAGGAAGGGAGAGAGAGAGTTAGAAACGTCGATGAGAGAGAGTCATCGATCAGCTGCCTCTTGCACACACCCTACTGGGGATGTGCCTGCAACCAGGGTACATGCCCTTGACCGGAATCGAACCCAGGACCTTTCAGTCCGCAAGCTGATGCTCTATCCATTGAGCCAAACTGGTTTCAGCTAGAAGTGTTCTTTAAATGTCTGATGATTCTTGGCTGTTCATTCATATTTAAGAGTGGTCAACCTGTGTGTGTGAAGTGGGACTAGTGGACTCCTGGGCTTCACTGTAGGAGATCAGGTACCCTCCATATTAGTATGTCATTCAATAATTCTGATGTGCAGTCAGGTTAATAACTGTTTGTAGTCTGTTGATGTCTCACCTCAAAGTGGTACCTCACATTAAAATTTTATGGTGATAAGTATGGAACAGTGGGGCCAAATACAGTTTGAAAGTGTAAACTTTGGTAAGTATTATTTCATTTACAGGTATTATATTATTGTTTTATAGATGAAAAAACAGTTCAGACAGGCTCAATTACTTACATAGTCATAGAAAGTATGGTATTACTGAGGATTTAATTCAGATTTTCATTTTAAATGCCATGATTAGTCCATTACAGTGTTGAAGAGTTTTGCAACTACTTTGTGTTTAATGTTTTAACTTCATTTGTTTTAGAGACCTAACAATAGGTTAGATTTCTATAGTTTTCAATTTTCGAGGTTAATTCACACCAGTTTTCTATTTCACCCATGAATATATATTTTTAAGATAGAAAGTACTAGATGGCTACATGTTTTAATCATAACATAATTGTTTTTGAACATGTGATTATTTTCTCATCAGGTTGTGGGTAATGACAGTCAATGCACTTCAACCTTCAATAAAGTTTGTTCGACAACAAAAGTATACTCAGAATGACTTGATGATAGATCCTCTCATTGTTCTAAGATGTGATCAGAGGGTACACAGGTATGTGTCATTGAATTTCATTTTTATTATAGGATTTTATTTTGGGGAGTCAAAGAAATTCAATTTAAACTTCTATCTAAGGTTCTTGTAGTAACTGGTTCTTGTATTATGATCTCTGAGGTGTTTTTTTTTTTTTTTTAAGTTGTCTATGTTCATGAACTATATTCAGTTTAATATGTGATTAATAAACCTAGCCTTAAAAAAATATTCTTGTGTTGGCAACCTTCAATAATGGCTGTTTTTACTCTCAGAACAAGGCTAGTAAAGAATAATATCATTTCTACTAGCATTGTTGAAAAGGCTTTTAAAGAAATTGATTTATTGTGAACCATTACATGCATTACAAGTGGGGTCTTTTTGGCATCCTCACTTGCAATGTTAGCTTCACTGAGTCCATATTTGTCTATATTTCCTTGCCAATTGCCAAACTTAATTGCTTTGAAGTGGCTTTACTTCAAGGGGCATAATTAATTAATTCATATAATTAATGTTTGAATTTCTAGTTGCTAAATAATATCAAAGATATATAAGTTGAGGGGCCTGCCTTCAAAGTCATTATCACCTGCATAAGAAAAAAATAAATGAAAAGTTAAATATGGTTACAGGTAGATGAATGGTATAGTAAGTGAATGCTGTTAAAAGTTCAGGAAGGATGAGGAGGAAGTCAGACCTGAGTCATATTTTAAAGGATAAAAATAGGATTTAGATGAACAGACTATAATGGTTAAGGGGTCAGGGAAGATATTGTAGGCAAAAGAATAGTATAAATAAAAGTGTAAAAGTAAGAATAAAAAAGACTAGCATGGAAGGGTAAGTTTTTAAGAACAATTTAAAAATATATATATATATATTTTATTGATTTTTCTTACGGAGAGGAAGGGAGAGGGATAGAGAACTAGAAACCTCGATGAGAGAGAAACATCGACCAGCTGCCTCTTGCACACCCTCTACTGGGGATGTGCCCGCAACCAATGTACATGCCCTTGACCGGAATCGAACCTGGGATTCAGTCCACAGACCGATGCTCTACCGCTGAGCCAAACCGGTTTCGGCAAGAACAATTTTAGAATTGGGAATATTAGATTAGGGTCATATTATGGGGAAGCCTTGATTAATAGGCTAATGAGGTCATTTAGGTAATAATTTAAGAAGGGAAGCTTTGTGCTAGTTGGTTTAAATAAACAAATAAAGACTAACTAGAATATACTCTATAGACTGACCTGTCCTCAAATCTGAGGATGATATTCTTGAAGTGACAAAACTTGCAAAACCAGCCAAATATGATTTGGCGAGCTCAGGGTCTCATAGGAAATAGGAATCAGAAAAATAAATATTAGTAGTGTAAGTGACATTAAATATCTAATAAAAGAAAAACAACCTATATATATTAAAGGCTAATATGCAAAGTGTTCCTCGGGAGTTTGACTAGAAGATCAGGAGTTCACTCGTTTGCTATGAGGTGTGCTGACCACCAGGGGGTGGGGTTGAATGAAGGAAGGCCCTGGCAGGCAACTGGCAGCCAGGGAAGGAAGGCCCTGGCTGGCAGCTGGAAGGCCCCTACTGGCCCTGATCGCCGGCCAGGCCTAGGAACCCTACCCGTGCATGAATTTCATGCACTGGGCCTCTAGTAATAAAATAACACTTCTAGAAAAGAACCTCTTCTAAAACAATTTATCAGTGTTAAAAATCTACCTAAGTAGGTAACTTTTCACCTGAAGTGCTCCAATTGTTCAGGAAGTTGTTAAATTATGCCATCATATGTATGTAATGCTTTTGTAGCCTGGAGTTTTTACTTCACTTCTGAACCTTTTCTCATTTTAATAGATGTTCTTTTTTTAAAAATTTATTTTATTTTTTTATTAAATTATTATCTGTGTACATATACCATTGCCCCCCCCCCCCCCATTCATGGCCTTCCTCCCCAGAGTTTTGTGTCCATTGGTTGTACTTATATGTATGTATACAAGTCCTTCGGTTGATCTCTTATCTACCCCAGATCTCCCTACCCTCCCCGCTGTAATTTGACAGTCTGCTTGTTGCATTATTGTCTCTATATCTATCTTTTGGTTCTTCAGTTTATAATGTTCTTTATCATCCATAAATGAGTGAGGTCATGTGGTGTTTCTCTTTCATTGACTGGCTTTTTTCACTCAGCATGATGTTCTCCAATTCCATCCAGGTTGCTGCAAATGATGAGAATTTCTTCTTTTTTATGGCAGCATAATATTCCATTGTATAGATGTACCATAGTTTTTGGATCCAATCATCTGATGATGGGCACCTAGGCTGTTTCCAAATCCTAGCTATTGTAAATTGTGCTGCTATGAACATAGGGGTGCATATATCCTTTCTGATTGGTGTTTCTAGATTCTTGGGATATATTCCTAGGAGTGGGATCACTGGGTCAAATGGGAGTTCCATTTTCAGTTTTTTGAGGAAGCTCCATACTGTTCTCCACAGTGGTTGCACCAGTCTGCATTCCCACCAGCAGTGCACGAGGGTTCCTTTTTCTCCGCAACCTCGCAACACTTGTCATTTGTTGATTTGTTCATGTTGGCTTTTCTGACAGGTGTGAGATGGTACCGTATTGTTGTTTTGATTTGCATCTCTCGGATAATTAGTGACTTTGAGCATGTTTTCATGTACCTCTTGGCCTTCCTTCTGTCTTCTTTTGAGAAGATTCTTTAATAGGTGTTCTTATATTAATTGGCCACATGAAATCAACATAGATATGCTTAGCTCAGTCTCTTATTGGAAATGATAGACTGAGAAAAGTCATTTTAGGGTTTTCAAGGGTTCAGTTTAAAAATTTTAGTCATTACCAATTTATCTTTTCTGATTCCTTTTTTAAATTTAATTCAGTTATTCAAGGAATGAATAACTGTACTTATTTCATAGATGAGGAAACTGAGGCTCAGTAAATATTTTTTCTAGGTCAAGTGGATTAAGCACTCTTGGAATACAGAGTTGTCTTGCTCTAAACAAGTAAGAGTTAGGAGTAGAAAGAGTAAATATTCTGCAGTCTCCTTCATCTTATCCATAATAGAATATTTCTCTTTGAAGACAGCTACTTTTCATGCTCAGATCTAAAAGATTTACTGGTAGTGCCATTTTTTTCAAAATAGAATGTCATTTCTCTAGGACATACATTATACATTATAGCTGGTAAGAGGAAATAAATATCATATAACCTTGAAATATAGAGAAAATAAGACATATTAAACTTTTATTTTGAGAATGAATATTTTAGTGGGAAAAGTGTTACTTTTCTCTTTTCAGGTTTTTCAGGTACTATTCAAGTTAAATTAATCGGTCATGTTCTGGCTAATTTCTACATTTATATTCTTTCTCATGTATTTTTCTTCTTTCTGTATATAGATGCCCCCCATTGATGGATATTACTCTACACATGTTGAATGGATATCTTCTTGCATCCAAAGCTTACCTTAGTGCTCATCTGAAGGAAACAGCAGAGCAGGATAGGTTTTCCCAGAATAATACATTAGGTTTAGTTGGACAAACTGATGGCCCAGAAGTTACTAGAGAAGAACTGAAAAATGCATTACTGGCTGCTCAGGTAATAAAGTAAAATTTAGTAAAAAAGAGCAAGTGATTCACTATTAATAAAATTAAATGGTGGAGACAAACAGAACCAAAAATATATAGTATATATACAGAGTAGGGCAAATGTAGGTTTATAGGTGTATGTGAAATACAGTTAATTCTTGTGTTATTTACTAGAGGCTCGGTGCACGAATTCATGCACTGGTTGGGTCCCTCGGAGTGGCCTTTGGGGCTCTAGTTTGCTCTTCCAGCCCCGCCTGGCACCCTGCCTTGACCTGGTGCCATTCCCTCCCCTGTTCCACAATCCAACCTGCTGGGCAATCATCAGTGCTAGGCCCCTCACCCGGCTCCCTCAGCACCTGGGGGCCAGGTGGTATCTTTGTTCCCCTCTGCTGCTGCCACTGGTTACTGTCTGTGGGGTAATTGGCAGGGCAATTGGGCCCCAACTCACACCCGACTTGGCCTGGCACTGCCTGCTCACCTGCTCCACCATCCTGAAAGGTCCCAGTGTTGTCAGGGCCTATCGGAGCTGGCAGTGCCTCCACTGCCAGTGCCCCCTAGTGGTCACTGCATGACATAGTGAGTGGTCAAACTCCCAGTCGAGGGGACAATTTTCTTACTAGGCTTTTATTATATAGGATTAACTAGAGGCCCGGTGCACGAATTTGTGCATGGGTGGGATCCAGCCAGCCTGGTCCCAATAAAAAGTTGAGGCCCACTGCCTTATAGATTGCTCACTTTTCCCCTAGAAGTACCTTTGTTATAATTTTAACTTGTGTTCATGTGAAAACAAAATCAGATTTGTTTCAAATAAACTCAGAAACTTCTTAAATTCACTGTTTTATTTGCTTGTAGGATAGTGCAGCTGTTCAGATTCTCTTGGAGATTTGCTTACCTACTGAAGAGGAGAAAGCAAAGGGTGTCAATCCAGACAGCTTGCTAAGGAATGTTCAAAGTGTTATTACTACCAGCACTCCAAATAAGGGAATGGAAGAAGGAGAAGACAATTTGCTTTGTAACCTTCGAGAAGTTCAGTGCCTTATCTGTTGTCTCTTGCACCAAATGTACATTGCAGATCCCAACATTGCTAAGCTTGTTCACTTTCAGGTCTGTTTTCAAAGAATGATGCTTTATGGTTGAACCTTTTATTTTTTTTTTTTTGGGGGGGGGGGATGGAGGGTTTGAATACTAAATTAATTAATAGGAATCATTTAGAAATAGGAGATAACACAAATAATTATGTTCCTCTGCAATATGGAGAAAAATCAGATTAATTTTATATTTTATTTTAGCCTGTGAAAGTGTTTAGATAATTTATTCTAGTGCATCAGAAAGGTGAAACACCAGGATAGATATAGCAACTTTTACATAAAGGAAGTGAAACCTTCCTTCATATTTTTATTTGTATTGGACCTACACTTATTTTCTTTGTATCTTTTTCCTCCTTTCTTGTTGGGATAGGGCTATCCATGTGAACTTTTACCTTTGACCGTCGCAGGCATACCATCTATGCACATCTGTCTGGATTTCATACCTGAACTTATTGCACAGCCAGAACTTGAAAAACAGGTAATGAACATTCAGAGCTTTAGATAAGTTTTGATCTCTCTCTAGTCTTGCTAGTTCTGTATAACATTTAATAATTTTTTAACACTTTAAAAACATTCTTCAGAAACATGTAATATTTGGATTTTGTATTGCAGATATTTGCTATCCAGTTGCTTTCTCATTTGTGTATCCAGTATGCATTACCAAAGTCACTCAGTGTGGCTCGCTTAGCTGTCAATGTCATGGGAACTTTGCTGACAGGTGTGTAGCCAACCAACATCAGTGAGAAATCTTCTAATATAGAAAAGTACATAGTTTTTCTGATTTTAGTGACACTGTTTTCTGTGTCACTAATAGATTTAATTTATGCCATCTTTTGAAAATTTTTCTATTATAAATGTTATTTATAGTGTAGAGATGAATAGGTAGGCAAACTGTATCGTTCATTTTGTGAATGACTATGTATAGGTTTATAATAAATAATAAGCTTCCCACACTTTATAAATGGAAATCAAATGTACTTTCTGAATGTAATTATATCAATAGAAAACAAATTACATTACATATGCTTAGAGTTCCAGAAAAACATAGTCCTATGTATAAATAAGACACATAAATTAGTTGTTTTCTTAAGTTCTAAAACATACCCTAACATTTTAACCACCTTTCCGTTCCTAGAGTAGAATAGTATGAAAATAAACTACTTTAAAAGATATGAACTATAATTTAATTTTGTAAAATAAAGGCTTAGTTAATTTTATATTCTTTTTCAGTGCTCCCATAATACCCTGCTCATTTTTCTTTCCATTGTATTTACTTCATGTTATAATTATTTGTAGTGTTTAAGAACTTAAAGCCTAAGTTGAATCATAACTCTACCACTAACTCTACCACTATCTACCACTGGCTATGTGGCCTTGAACAAATGTGTTAAACTGTATATATATTTGTGTGTGTGTATTTTAATTGATTTTAGGGAGAAAGAGAAAAGAATATCAGTTTGTTGTCCCACTTATATTGATTGATTATTATATGTGCCCTTACCAGGGATTGAACCCTGAACCTTGATGTATCGGGGTGATGTTCCAACCAATTGAGCTACCAGCCAGGGATAAACTGTTTTATTTACGAGTTTTCTCATATAAAAATAGGTATCACTATAGTACTTTCCTCATTCATAAGATTATGAGAATTCCATGAAATAATGCATGTGATACACTTATCACAGTGCATGGGCATAAGAATTTCTATGTTGGATGATGGCTGACTACTGGATTGTGAGCTCCCTAGAGGCAGGAGTGGCCCTGTGTTAGAAAACAATATCCTCAGCATAAACATGAGACTTGTATAGGCCGTACATGTTGAATTTATAACTGTAAAGGTAAAAATTGTTTTATTCTTTCCAGTTTTAACACAGGCTAAGCGATATGCTTTTTTCATGCCAACTCTGCCAAGTTTGGTCTCTTTTTGTCGAGCATTTCCTCCACTGTATGAGGATATTATGTCTCTGCTGATCCAAATAGGGCAAGTCTGTGCCTCCGATGTTGCCACTCAGACAAGAGACATTGATCCAATTATTACACGTAAGTATAACTTATTTTCAGACTTGTTTTAATATCTCAAATAGACAAAATTCTTTTTAGATTTCTTGCTTTAATTAAAAATTTTTCCATATGTTTTTAGGTCTTCAACAAATAAAGGAGAAACCAAGTGGATGGTCTGGAATCTGTAAAGATTCATCTTACAAAAATGGATCCAGGGACACTGGAAGCATGGATCCTGATGTACAGCTCTGTCATTGTATTGAAAGCACAATAATTGAAATAATAAACATGAGTGTTAGTGGAATTTAAAAAACAAAATGAAGATGATTGCTACATACCCAATATGAATCTGTATGTTATAATAACTCTAAACTGAATGGGAACAGTGCCATCTTGGAATCAGTAAAATGGTTCAATTCTCCATGAATACAATATAGAACTCTCTTGAGAATTATGCGTGCTTGTATTTGATTGGCAGTTCTTTGGATCTACTTTGCTGGTATGTTTATATTGTAGTAGCCGAACCCCCTCCCCCCCCAATTGGGAGCACATTTAAACAACTTATTACTGGAAAGTGAATTTGTCTTTGTATTTATCTTTTGAAGTGAAGAAAAACTGCCACGCCTTTAATTTCTTATAAAAATGAGTTGGTGGGTAGTCCTAGTGTTTATTTTAGCTGTGAGCTAGTAACAAAGTGTGACAATTATGCGATGATGAGAGGGAGAAAAAGGAGAATTCAGGAAAAATTAGGAATTTAAATACCCAAATAGAAATCTCTAAAACTTGCAATGCAAGTAATAGTAATGCAAGATCAAATTCCAGTTCTCAAGAAATGGTATTGAGAAGGCTTTAAGAAAAGGCAAATAGCTTTTTGTAAATGATTTTCATGGAATTACAGGTGAGGATTTTACGATTTTTACATGTTTGCTTCAATTTTTTACTAATATGTAAAGCCATATGTTTAAAGAGATACTTGAATAATTTGGGATTTTAAGATACTGGTTTAAAAGTGTATACAGAAATATCTTTGTGCAGAGAAGAATCTGAAAGGATGGTCTCATTTAGTTTTTTTAAAGTTTATTTTTATAATGCTTTACTAACTTATCTAATGGTCAGAAATACATTGGTACCTATTTAAGTTTTAGAGTAATACAACCCATTACATTAAAGAGCTCTTGGTTTGTCATTAGTATTATAATTCACATCATAATCTTAGAAGATCTTTGACTAAGAAAATGTATACAATGTATGGACCTCAGGAAAAATAAGAAAAACAAACAAACGGAAAATACCATGTTGCCGAAGGATTTTGCAGTCCTCTGCTAGTAACTTCCATTGATCATTAGGTAGATGCATTCAGGTAATCCATAATCCTCACTTTATTTTCTTAATTAAGTATTCAATGTAGAAGGAACTTCTCTTTGCTTTCTGAGGTATAACTGAATGACAGATATTCCCTTCTATTGCCCCACTTGAAACAGACCCCTTCACTTATAAAAGAAATTAGGCAGGCTAATAAGAAAGCGTGGTTTTTAAGAAATTAAACTTCAGCCTTTTTACTAGCAAATAGTCACATCTCATTTTAAAATGGGATTACTACTGGCCCTACCTCATAAGGGTATTATATGAGAACTAATTTGTAGCTGTTTCAAATTATGAAGTGTACAGTATTATAGATGGTAGCTGCTTAATGTTCGATTAATTTTTGTGAAAAATAAAATCATTTAAAAATACCATTAGAAATTTCATATTTTTAAACAAGGCCATTTTGTAGTCTTTTAAAATTAAATACTCTTGCTCCTGAGGCTTTGGAATATTTTGTGAGTAGGTAACCAACCTCTAGGAATTCAGAAAAGGTTGAAATATGTTTTCTAACTGAATGCAGTGCAAATTCTTGGATAATTTTTCAAAGACTGGTCACAACCTGCTGTGTTAAAATAATAACATGCTGTTTTTCATCAGATTTGTTGATGATGTAAATAAATTGTGTAAATATATTAGTAAATGCTAATATTCATGTATTTTAAGTTAAGGTTATAAAATTTGTCAAATGTGATTTTTTTTATTCAAGTGAAAACAGATGTGTGCAGCTATTTTGAATATTGGTTTATAAACATTCATCTTTATCAAATGAAGTTGTATTTTTTGTTTCATTTCACTAATGTTCATCTGAAAGGAACGGTTCATGGAATTGGAATCTAGGACTGTGGCTTCAGGGCATAGGTGAATCTATTTCTGTTGTGCCACATACATCAAAGGAAACACAGGGTTAGAGTCTGTTGAGTACTTCAGAAATTTAGGCAAGAAGAATCAGCGTAGTTATCCTGGAGCAGTTACTTAAAAGATATTTAAAAACCTTGTAGGTTGGCTGTCTTGGCTCAGTGGTTGAGCATAAACCTATGAACCAGGAGGTCATGGTTTATTCCCAGTATGGGCGAGCAGGAGGCAACTGATCAATGATTCTCTCATCACGATGTTTTTCTCTCTCTCGCTCTTCTCTGAAATAAAATGTAATTTAAAAATTATAAAAGAATAATAATTTGAAAGTATACTTAGGGTGTATTTTTATAAATTATCCGTTATTCCACTGCCTTAACAATAAATTAGAGTTTTGTACCTTCTCTTCATCTTTGCTTATATTTTCATATAATTCTTAATACCCAGTATGGATTTTTTTGTTTTAATTTAACTTTAGATAGAATTTTTTTTTTGCAGGCTGCTTAGTTTTTTTTTTTTCTTTTTAAAATATATTTTATTGATTTTTTACAGAGAGGAAGGGAGAGAGAGACAGCTAGAAACATCAATGAGAGAGAAACAGATCAGCCTCCTCCTGCACACCTCCCACTGGGGTTGTGCCCGCAACCAAGGCACAGCCCCCATTGGAATCGAACCGGGGACCCCTCAGTCTGCAGGCCAACGCTCTATCCACTGAGCCAAACTGGTTTCGGCTGCTTAGTTTTTATAATTATTTTATTGGCTTCATACTGATTGAATTGATATAACCATCTCCCTATTACTAGGCTGGGAGTTTATAGTCGCCCCCTCCCCCCAGTATTATAATAGACACTGATCAACTAAGGTATTGTTAAATTTTCTTTCTTAAAGATTACTTCTTTAGGATAAATTTCTCAGCCTGAAATTACTAAATTAAAGAGTAAAATTTATCTTTATGACTTAAGTTTTGTCTTTTGGGGAAGATGTGAGACTCTCCTCCTGCTTCTCCCTCCTGCAGCACACCTCTCTCCCCAGAGTAGTTTCCCGAATTTGAGAAACTAGTCGGTTTTCCTTTTCTGGTACACTATTTGAGCCAAGTTTAGGCTTTACAGAATGAAAAAAAATTTTTTTTTGGCAAGACGATTAGCCGCCTACCTATGAGAAAACGGAAGTTTACTCTTGGCAAAGGAGAATAAATTGATTTTTAGGAAGGATCAGTCTTAACGGAGGAAGACGTAAGTGATCTGGTGCTGGAGAGACCTCGAGCTTCTCTGGTAGAATCTGATATCTGGGAATCCTTGATTGAGACATTGTAGTCAAGAACCTTTCACCTCGTTCGGTTCAGCCATTCCAGCCTCCTTCTTTCCCATACCCTGGGCGCTCTTATTAATTCAAGTTCGGAATTCTGAATCCAGCGGCATTGAAAAACGCTTAGAGGAGAGGTCGGCAAGGCTCAAAGGTGCATCCTCTCCGTTTACCTTCAGACCTTAAGAAGAACATTTCTAGTTCCCCAAGAAACTGACACACGGCTTAAACCGCTGGTTGCAAAAAGCGAAACCGCTATGTCTCTCCTTTAAATCACTGGCAAGTGCGCGGAGTCAGTGGCTTTTCCCGTTCGCCTTCCGGGGCCGCCAATTATCGCGGTCGAATGATAGCGCGAGGCTCCCATTGGGCGCAGAACTCCCGTGCCCTCGGATTGGTTGCTTGATTTCTGGTCCCGGCGTGTGATTGGCTTGTCGGAGCTCGTCCAGGCGATTGGGTGCCGGGAGCCGAGGGGGCGGGAGGCGGGAATTCGTCGGGGAGAGTTGTGGCGGGGACCGATGGGAACTGGGGGAGAGGAAAACTGAGGCGGCACGGGCCCGCGACGAGGCCCGGGGGCAGCAGCTTAGCGAGGACGGGGGAGGCCGCCACCTCCCCTCGGCGCCAGGGCTCCGCTTTGTTTGCTCGCCGACGTCGCGTCCTTTTCTCCCGTGAGTCGGAGCCCGGGTCGCTTCGGTTTTCCTCAGCCCAGGCAAGTCTGCCACCGCGGGGAGAGCGCTTCCACCCCGCGGAGGGGCGCCTCCCGCCGCCGCCCGCCGGGCTCCCCTGGCCTGCGGGGTCTTCCTGGCTCCGGGGGGAGGGCAGGGGCGGAAGCAAACCTGGGAGCCCGGAGGGCGCCGGTCCTCCCCTCAGAGAGCAAAGGCCTGCTGCTGGCCCGGGGCCTCGCGGTGACCTGGCCGCAGGGGGCGACCGCGGCTGGCAGATCCCTTCCCCCCTTATGTCGGGGAAGCTACCCAGTTTTGAGAAGCTTTTTGCCACAATCGGGGAGTGGGGGGGATGGGTTGATTTCTTGGTAATAGCTGAATAACTAGGCCAGCGTTGAGTGGTTGGTTTCAGGACAAGGGGTTAAATCAGAACCAGATTTGATTCTCAGAGCCTCAGAGATGGAGTCACAGACTGTTAGGTTAAAATAGTGGTTGTTGCCCTCGCCGTTTGGCTCAGTGGATAGAGCGTCGGCCTGCGCCCTGAAGGGTCCCGGGTTCGGTTCCGGTCCAAGGCATGTACTGCGGTTGCAGGCTCCCCGCCCTGGTCAGGGGGGCAAGGCGAGAAGCAGCCAATCGATGTGTCTTTCTCACATCTGTGTTTCCTGTTTCTCCTTTCACTTCCAACTCCCTAAAAATCAATGGGAAAAAAAAATCCTTGAATGAGGAAGGATATATATAGATATATATCTATATCTATCCATCCATCCATCCATCCTAAACTTCTCTGGGAACACATTAGCAGTGGTTAAGGTTATTATTGGCTTCAATCTATGGAATTGCTGTTTTAACCATCTCTCCATCCCCTAGATTGAATTTACCTTCCCCTCCCCCGCTCTGTTGCAAATAATTTATCACTTGATAACTGTGTATGTCATTTCCCCCTGGATTTTCAGTTGTTTCCTTAGGATATGTTTCTGGGAATGAGAAACGTACGGACTTTCTCCTGAGGAAAATGCAGCTATGCACAGGAACCTTTGCATGCACCATCAGGCCACAGTCTCCCAATGACCCCTGTGGATCCTAGGCTAAGAAAGGGTGGTTTAGAAGAGGCAGAGATTAAAGTTGTCACTTCCTCTGGAGTTTAGACTCATTCTGTAGTTACCTTATCCTAACTCAGTGCTTGGTTAATTTGCATAGAATCCTATCAGACAGATAACATTTCCATTTCACAGGCTCTGAGACCTTAAGCCATTCACACAATGAAATTCAAATTTAGGCTTGCCTGACTCGAAAGCCCACTTCTTTCCATTATACCATGCTGTCCTTTAAGTAGGAATTATTGCACACCTGCTATATGCCAAGGAGTTTTTCTCCTTACAACCATTTTGAAATGAAGCATTGTTACAGGTAAGGATCTTACTAGCAGTGTTTCCCAAACTTTTGACATATGTGTACCCTTCTATAATTTTCGTAACGCTGAGTACCCCCCGTACTCATGAGAACGTAGAATTAGGTGCAGCTAAGCACTGTCAGTGCATATCCCCACCCAACTTCGGTGCAACACGTACCCCCACCAAACTTTTCCCGTACCCCTGGGGGAACACGTACCACACTTTGGGAAACTGGTCTAGAGAAATGAAGAGATGTGATCAAGGTGCCTGTGGGAGTTGTCACAATCTGATCTAGAACCTTTATTTCCTAACCCCTGGTCCACAGCTTTGGCAAAGCAGGGATATACAATCAGGTGTGTTCGATTCCAAGACTGCACTCAAGTGCGGCGATTTATGAGAGCAGGAAATTATTTCACTTCCATTTGTTTTGTTTATATAGTTATTCCAATTTTTATTTCCAGATTTCTGTCCTAGGGTTGGGTATCTGGTTTTCTTTGAATGGCATTGTTTCTTTTCTTTACTTTCCTTTTTTTCCTTTTTTTTTTTTTTTAACTGTATTTAGGTCCTTTTCTTTAAAAAAAAAATATTTTATTTATTTTTTTACAGAGCGGAAGGGAGAGGGACAGAGAGTTAGAAATATCTTTGAGCGAAAAACATTGATCAGCTGTCTCCTGCACGCACACCCCACTGGGGATGTGCCTGCAACCAAGGTACATGTCCCTGACTGGAATCGAACCCCCAAGTCCACAGGCCGACTGTTTAGGGCATTATCGTCAGCATTTTTTTTTCTTTTCTTTTAAAAAAAATATATTTTATTGATATTTTGTAGAGAGGAAGAGAGAGGGATAGAGAGTTAGAAACATCAATGAGAGAGAATCATCGATCAGCTGCCTCTTGCACACCCCCTACAGGGGATGTGCCGGCAACCAAGGTACATGCCCTTGACTGGAATCGAACCTGGGACCCTTCAGTCTACAGGCTGACGCTCTATCCACTGAGCCAAACTGGTTTCGGCAGTCTTCAGCATTTTTTCAATATTGATTTTCATTTGTGTTGCAGTTAGGAATCTGAAGTAAACAGGAAAGTATGATGTCTTCAGAATGGTCTGAATATACCATTGGTGGGGTGAAGATTAACTTTCCTTGTAAAGCTTATCCATCCCAGCTTGCTATGATGAATTCTGTAAGTATTTTTCAGCAGTTATTTCAAGTCTTATTAAGATACATATGCCTGTAATGCATAACATACACTGAGTCTGTGACTACATTTATTTTCTCAGATAGTAAATGGATTGAAAACATTTGATGGGTTCATTGACGAACATCTAACCTTTGGAAAATATTACTGTTCCCGGCTACACTATGTGTCCATGGTTAGTTACGAGGCAAAGGAGAACATTCTGAACAAAGTTCTTAGCTCATTTGGAACTTTTACTTTATAGAATTACTGCTTTCTATAAAGTATTTATTGTCTTCCACATGGAATACTCTAGTTTCTACGGTAATTTTTTTAAAGATATGTCAGTCATTTAGAAAGTTAATATATAAATTTGAGTAAACCAACTTTCCAGCTTTGTTGTAATTTAATATTTTGCCATATTTGCTTTATACCTTGTTTATAAATAACAGGATTATTAGTATCCTGAATTTTTTCTTTTTCTTTCCTAGCATTGCTTTAATACATTTATTATGTATGTATCCTGTTAATTTACATATTTTTGAACTTTACACAATGATATGAACTATACCTCTCTTTCTGTAGAACTTGACATTTTTTTTTTTTTTTGCTTAACATTATTATTATTATTTTAATAGATTTTAGAGAGAGGAAAGGTGAAAGTGGGGGAGAAACATCTGTCGGTTGCCTCCCACATGCCCCTGCCAATTTTTGGTGTACCGGATGATGTCCCAACCAACTTTGCCAAACTGGCCAGGCTGCTTAACATTATTTTTAAGTTGTAGCCCTGACCTGGTGGGCATGGCTAACTGGTCGACCTATGAACCAGAAGGTCACGGTTTGATTACCAGTCAGGGCATATGCATTGGTTGTGGGCTCAGTCCCCAGTGTGGGGCATGCAGGGGCCAGCCGATCAATGATTCTTTCTCATCATTGATGTTTCTCTCTCCCTCTCCCTTCCTCTCTGAAATTAATAAAAATATGCACACACAAAAAGATGTAATCCTGTTGATTGCTAATTCATTTTAATTGCTTTAATGGATTCCATTATATGAATGCCAGGATTTTTTTGGTACATTATCCTTCTAATAGACATTTGGATTGTATATATTCTTTTGAAATTATAAATAGTGTTGCTGTGAACTTTCTTTTTTTAAATTTTTATTTAATTTTATTGATTTTTTTACAGAGAGGAAGAGAGAGGGATAGAAACATAGATGAGAGAGAGTCATCGATCAGCTGCCTCTTGCATACCCCCTACTGGAGATGTACCCACAACCAAGGTACATGCCCTTGACTGGAATCGAACCCAGGACCTTTCAGTCCGCAGGCTGACGCTCTATCCACCGAGCCAAACCAGTTTTGGCTGCTATGAACTTTCTTATGCATGTTTTCTTCTGATGGAGAGAGACCCTAATGAAATAAAATTGTTTATTGATTTTTTTAATTGTTTTTGTACCCATAGATTGTCAGAGGATTAAACAGTAAGCAGCATTGTTTATTGGAAAGCCCTACGGGAAGTGGGAAAAGCTTAGCCTTACTTTGTTCTGCTTTAGCATGGCAACAGTCTCTTAGTGGTAAGTAGCTGATTGCTAGCTTCTGGTTGCTTATTAGGACCCGAAAAAAAAAATGAAGTACTTTTCATTCAGAATGATTCATCTGTATTCTAGCTAACTTAGTATTCTCTTTTAAGGTCTTTCTTTATGATGTTACTATGTCTTCCAAAAGAGTTTCAATATGGCAGAACATGTTCAATTAGTCCCCAAACAAATTTGTACATAATATAGTTTTTTATTTGATGATTCAGAGTATATATAAGAATCTTGGCATGCTTATTATCATCAAAACTAGAGGCCTGATACACAAAATTCGTGCAAGGTGCTCAGCCCTCCCACCGCTGTCAGAAGGTCTTCAAGCTGTCTTGTCTAATTAGCATATTATGCTTTTATTATGAATAATTATAATTTTCATGTAAAAGATGCAAGAGATGGTCTGTCATGATGCCAGAATAGCAATAATTGTGTGTGTGTGTGTGTGTGTGTGTGTGTGTGTGTGTGTTTTGAGTAAATTCTGTGGTATATTTGCTTATCTGTCCCTTTCTCATAACATTAAAACATGGAATATATAAAAAGGAAAACATTCTAGTTGATCTTCCTACTGGTTTGGGTACTAGATAAACATTTGTTGTAAAATTGTTTGTATGAATCCATATTATTTTTCATTACATTTACTTGCGAAAAAAATGCTTAGTAATATTTCCTTTTATGAAAGACTTTCTAATACACATCATGAATCTAAAGTACAATATTATATACATTTTAGTTACATAATTAGATTTCTTTGACCTAAAGTGTTAGCAGAATTTAAAAGTAAGCATGGTGTGAATATGTAAGTGTGTGTGTGTGTGTGTGTGTGTGTGTGTGTGTGTATGAATATATAATGTCTTTTAAAAGGAAATGTATGTGTTACTGATAAGACTTTTAAATATTAAAAATAAAAATAAATATTTTATAAGCTTTTGGTTGTTCGTTTTGATTCTTACTGATGTTAAGTTAATCTTTGGGGGGAAATGATGTTATCTTAATAACTTAAAATTTTAATGAGATTCTGGAAAATAGTAGTATTATTTCTGTAGTATAGAGAGGAAAATAATGCAGTACTCTTTTAGAGAAAATAAATTACTCAGCTTTTTTGTACGTATGAATTGTATATTGAAACACACAGGCAAATAATGTAGATATTGCAATTTTGTATTATATTAAAGTATTAAAAATTACCTGTTTTATTTAATTTGAATATTGACTTTAAAGTGTATTTTGATACATATGTCATAATCACTACATCAGGAAACATGTTTCTGTTTGAAATAGAAGTATAATGTGGGAATGATTTAACTTTTATGTGTTTACATTGTAATTTAACATATTGTACTTTCAAATTCTTGATTAAGGAAAATAGCAGTAATGAAGAAGATATTTTAGGTCTTTATTCCATGATTGATATTTTAATAACTCTCAATATAAATTAATACTTGCGTTGTTGTGCCTTTATTACATTATTTGGTTTTTTATAATTAGATTTTAATAAATTCTGTTAGTAACATGATAACTTTTCTACATGTTTCTGGCATAAATATTTCTCTGCTATCAAATTTGAAGTCCAAATTTGCTAGGTACTTTTTCAATTTTAGCACACAAAGTGTTGCATCCTGGGATATCTCCCAATCCTGGGCAAATTGGGGTGTTTGCTTACCCCAAATGCATAGAAAGATTCAGTTAAAAGAAATCAGAAATGTTATAAATAGAAGTTCTTTTATTTTTTAGGAAAGCCAGTAGATGAAAGCTTAAGTAAAAAAGCTGAAGTATTATTGTCATGTAGTTGTACATGCCATTCAAAGAATTTTACAAACGATGACATGAATGAAGGAACTTCACGTCATTTCAATAGTCCAAGTACACCACCTTCTGAGAGAAATGGAACTTCATCTCCTTGTCAAGGTAGTTCAGATTTTGCTGGGGTCTGTTAGTATCTGTAACAGAAGCCTTATTTATTGTTATGAGACCTTATTTAGATAAATTTGGTTAGCGTAATTGATATGTACTTTTACATATATTCTCTGGAATTATTATTATTATTATTTTTTTAATATATATATTTTATTGATTTTTCACAGAGAGGAAGGGAGAGGGATAGAGAACCAGAAACATCGATGAGAGAGAAACATCAACCAGTTGCCTCCTGCACATCCCCTATTGGGGATGTGCCTGCATCCAATGTATTATACATGCCCTTGACTGGAATTGAACCTGGGATCTTTCAGTCCGCAAACCGATACTCTATCCACTGAGCCAAACCGGCCTCAGCTCTAGAATTATTTTTAGATAATTCATAGAGTGGTCAGAAATCCTTGGATTATTCTTGACTTGACTTTTTATTTATTCAGATATTTTGCTAGCTTAAATTATTTTTTGAAGGCAAGGAAGAATAAATGATATTCAGAGACTATGCCATTTGTAGGCATTATTGTTAATTATGTGGTAGAATTTTATAAGACATATTAATTTGTATTGTAAGACAAACTCTAATCAGCCTCATTTATTCTAGATAAATTTGCCTGATCTTCTGAGATAAGCATTCTAAAAAAATACAATAATACTCTAATGGGATTTTCTTTATAAGTTACTATCTTCTTTTCCCTGTCTGCCTTGAGATTCTCTCTTTGTTGTTAGTTTTTGACAACTTTTGATATAATGTGCCTTTGAGAAAGAGCCTTTTTGGATTGAGATAATCAGGTGTTCTGTTAGCTTCTTGGATTTGAGGACCCAGTTCTTTGTATAGGTTTGGGAAGTTCTCATCAATTATTTGTTTGAATAGGTTCTTCATTTCCTTCTTCCTCTTTTCTTCTGGTGTACCCATTATTCTTTTTGTTGTTGTTGTTAATCCTCTCCCAAGGATATTTTTCCCATTGAATTTTAGAAAGAGGGGAAGAAGGGGGAGAAGCAGAGAAATACTGATGTGAGAGAGACACATCAATTGGTTGCCTTCTGAATACACCCTGACCAGGGCCAGGATTGAGCCTGCAACGAGATATGTATCCTTGACCAGAATTGAACACAGGACTCTTCAGTTTGCATGCTGACATTGTATCCACTGAATCAAATCGACTAGGGCCCCATTATTCTTATACTAGAGGCCTGGTGCATGAAATTTGTGCAAGAGAAGGCCTTCCTTCCCCTGGCTGCCGGCACCAGCTTCTCTCCAGCACCTGGAACCCGGGCTTCCTTCCCAGCCCCTGCTTTGTCTGGAACGTCTGGAGGGATGTCTGGTCTAATTAGCATATTAAGCTTTTATTATTATAGATTGCTCTTTCTAATGAGTTCAGATACTTTTTGAATATTTTTTTTTAAACTCACGATTTTTTCTTTCCTCTTGAATAATTCTACATTTCTGTCTTCATTATCACTAATTTGTTCTCCCATCTGGTCTGCTCTATTTCCAAAGCTTGCTAGTTCTTTCTTCATCTCATTTACTCAGTTCTTCAGTTCCAGAATTTCTGTTCGGTTCTTTTTTTTATTTTTATTTTCAATCTCTTTGGTAAAATACTATTAAGTTTTGAGAGTTTCTTCATATATTTTGAGTACAAGTTTTTAAAAAAAATATATAGTTGTAGGTTTACAGTAGGTCTAAGATGCATTTAGAGTTAATTTTTTAATATGGTGCAAGGTATGGATCCAAGTTCATTTATTTTGCATATGTATATCTAATTATTTAGCATCCTTTATTGAAAAGGCTATCCTTTGTCCACTGCATTCATTGCCTTTGTAAAAAATCAGTTGTCAATTACAACTTTCTTTTTAACATTATTGTGGTGTATAGTTTATACAATAGTCTCTTGAAGAATCAAATAGCAATAAATCATGGTTGCATTCTGATACTCTTTATATTTTGAAGTAAATTCTTTAATAAGATATAACCTAAATACAGAAAAGTGAACAAATTCTAAGTGCATACTAGTAGTTTGAAGAATTTTCACAAAGCAAACATACTAATATACTCCCAACTAGATAAAAAATAGGATATGACCAACACTTCTCATCCTCTTTGTTAGTCACCTTTCCACAGGTAATTGCTATCTTCCCTTCTATTACCATTAGTGAGCTTTGCCTTATTATAGAAATGAAATTATATCCATCTACTTTTGCTTAATGCTATACTTATGAGATTTATTTGTGTGTTGCATATAGTAGTACTTATTGCTATATATTATTTTCTTCTGAGAATATACTGCAATTTATTAATTTATCTTATAGTTGTTAGACATTTGGGCGGTTTCTGCGTTAGGTTATTAATGTTGTTTTGAACATTCTTTTTTTAAAAAATATATGGACTTATATATATATTTTTTTAGATGTATTTTTTTATTGATTTCAGAGAAGAAGGGAGAGGGAGAGAGAGAAATGTCCATGATGAGAGACAATCATTGATTGGCTACCTCCTGCACTTCCCCTACTGGGGATCAAGCCTAACGAACATAGAAGCTTAGTAAGAAAGTGACATTGAGACCATGTAAAGAAATATTTTTATGGAAATGAAATACATTTTCTTGAGATAGTCTTACAGTTATATTTTTAAAAATCACATTATTGGGAGTGGTCTACAACAGTATAAACCTGTTAAAATTGGACTTGCCTATTAAAAACATATTTTTCTAAATATTTTCTATATTTTGTTAAAGTAATCTGGTAAAGTGCTTTTAAACATGTTTAGCAATTTAAAAAATATATTAATTTCTAAAATAAGTCTACATCTTGATTCTAATTTTTTTAGGAAAATTGCCTAAGTGTAAGTTATTTATGCTAATTTTTTAACTTCTTTTATAAGACTCTCCTGAAAAAACTACTCTGGCGGCGAAATTATCTGCCAAGAAACAGGCATTCATATACAAAGATGAAGATGATGATTTTCAAGTAGAGAAGAAAAGATTTCGATCCTTAGAAACTACGCAGCAGGTAAACAGTTTATTGGCAGTGCAATAATCCCATTAGTTATCGCTGAAGAAGGCTGTCAGATATCAATTTGACTTGTGGAGATTAGTGGGGTCACAGATGTAAAATAAATGGTAAATTGTTGCAATTGAATTTTAGGTATTACTCATTACAAAGAGTTTATTATAAAAGATTAGAGGCCTGGTGCACAAATTCATACACCAGTGGAGTCCCTTGTCCTAGCCTGCGGGATCCGGCTGAAACTGGCTCTCCTATCCCCCAAATGGTCCCGGATTGTGAGGGTGCAGGTCCAGCCGAAGGTGGACTGGGGGAGGGCTCTGGCCCATCTTGCTCACCCCACCAACAAGCTAACTTACTGGTCAGAGGAGCATCTGCTCCTTGATGGTCAGTGCACGTCATAGTGAATGGTTGACTGGTCAACTGTCTGCCCTCTGGTGATCAGTGCACATTATAGCAACTGGTCGATTGGTTGACTGCTTGCTGGTGATCAGTGCACGTCATAGTGAACGCTTGAGCACCCTTAGCATATTATTAGCATATTATGCTTTGATTGGTTAAATGGGCAACTAGACACTTAGCATATTAGACTTTTATTATATGACTAGAGGCCCAGTGCATGAAATTCGAGCATGGGTGTGCGTGTCTCTCAGCCCAGCGTGCACCCTCTCCAATCTGGGACCCCCTGAGGGATATTTGCCTTCCCGTTTAGGTCTGATCCGGGCATTCAGACATCCCTCTCACAATCTAGGACTGCTGGTTCCCAACTGCTTGTCTGCTTGCCTTCCTGATTGCCCCTAACTGCTTCTGTCTGCCAGCCTGATCACCCTCTAACCACTCCTCTGCCAGCCTGATTGATGCCTAACTGCTCTCCTGCCAGCATGTTTGCTTCTAACTGCCCTTCCCTGCAGGCCTGGTCACCTCTAACTGCCCTTCCCTGTAAGCCTGGTTCCCTCCAACTGCCCTCCCCTGCAGGTCTGGTCCATCCCCTCCCTCCCAACTGCTCTCCCCTGTAGGCCTAGTCCCTCTCAACTGCCCTCCTCTGCTGGCCATCTTGTGGCAACCATCTTGTGTCCACATGGGGGCAACCATCTTTGACATGTGGGTGAAGCCATCTTGTGTGTGGGAGTTTTGGTCAATTTGCATATTACTCTTTTATTATATAGGATAGAGGCCTGGTGCACGGGTAGGGCCTGGCTGGTTTGCCCTGAAGGGTGTCCCAGATCAGGGTGGGGGTTCCCTTGGGGTGTGAGGCGGCCTGGAGGAGGGGCTTATAGTGGTTTGCAGGCAGGCCATGCCTCCCAGTGACCCAAGCAGAGGCCCTGGTATCTGGGATTTATTTATTTTCTATAATTGGAACTTTGTAGCCTTTAGCACAGGCCAGGGCCAGTCAGGGCAGGGCGGGAAGTTTGGCTTCTTCCATTGCTGGGAACAACCCAAGCCTCCTACTCTCTCTTTGGCTATAGCCATCTTGGCTGGGTTAATTTGCATACTCACTCCTGATTGCTGGTAAGCGTGGCTTGTGGGTGTAGTGGAAGTATGGTCAATTTGCATGTTTCTTTTATTAGTGTAGAAAGAATTATTTACAGTCAATGTCATTAAGGTGAAACTGCATGATGCTTACTTATATATGAGGAATGTTATAGTAAAATATTTATTTATGGAATATATTAATAATAGAGCTACTTTGTATGTTTTAACTCCTCTACTGTTTTTATTTAATAATGACATTTTTTTGCCAAAATTCCTTTTATATGAATATTTATGTGATATATATTTTTGGTATTGGTAGTTTTAATGTATTTACAAGGTTTACTCTTATTTATTAAGTTTTAAATATCAATACAGGATAAAATATTTATTTCTACAAATTATTGAAAGGCCTAAATTACTAGATATTTTATATATATATATATATATATATTTTTTTTTTTTTTAATATATTTTATTGATTTTGTACAGAGAGAAAGTGAGAGAGATAGAGAGTTAGAAACATCGATGAGAGAGAGTCATCGATCAGCTGCCTCTTGCACACCCCCTACTGGGGATATGCCCGCAACCAAGGTACATGCTCTTGACTGGAATCGAACCCAGGTCCCCTCAGTCCCCAAGCCGACGCTCTATCTATTGAGCCAAACCGGTCTCGGCCTAAATTACTAGATATTTTAAATGACTACTTTTTGTAGATGAATACTATGTTTTCTCATAGAGTTCATGGCAGTGAGATGTGGAGGCTGGGATTTTTAATAGCCTTAATTACAAATAGAAAGGGTATTCTTTATATTATTTAAACAGCATGTCATTTGCATATAATTAAATATTTTAATTGAATATGTTAAAAAAGTTTTCTGCATTATGTAGTTTATTTACAATCTTTTTAACTTTCATAATTAAACCATTTTTAGAAATAGAAGGAACTACTTTAATTTTGGAAAAGCACCAATTACAAATGAAGCATGAATCTTTAGAAAATTTTCCCTCCTCCCAAAAAATGTACATGGATTGGATGTTGTGAGGTAGGACTCAACATATAACACTTATCCTTGACTTCTTGGGGTCTCATTTCTTTTTTTGCTAGGAATGGGGTTATGAATAGAAATGCCCCTTTCCCCTTTATAGTTTAAGTAAATAGAGTTTTGGCAAGTAGACAAAAAACATAGACAGTTTGGAAAGCAAACTTAGTGGTATTTATGAAGTAAATTTAGTCAGAGAATCCAAGATGGCAGCACAGGTAAACACCTAGCTGCAGCCGCACACAACAATTTCAATAAAATACAATTAAAATATAAAATGGACATTACCCAGAATTACAGGAAAGTCGACTGACTGGAAATTCTACAAGAAGCAAGGGGAAAACCAGAAGGAAGAGCAGAGGAGCTGTAAAATCGTAAGGTATGGAGACACGCGGCCTGCGCGGAGAGGACGGAGCCGGAGAGGAGGGGCAGCTGAGTGCCTGGCTGGTGTTCCCTAGCAAGAAGGAGATAAAAGCTCCGACTGTACCCCAGTTCTAGGCCAGACCCCGGGGACCCAGGCTCATCCATAGGGTGTGGAGGCGGAATCCCAGGGGAACAGCAGAAGGCAGAGCCCCTGGAGGAGCGCACGTTGCGCGCAGAGGACGGACTGTTGACTCTGCTGCTAGATTGCCCTGGCAGGAAGGAGACAAAGGCTCTGGACTGTGCTGGGCCCCAGTTTCGACTGCTCTGAACCCCAGTTCTAGGCCAGACCCTGGGGAACCATGCTCAAACAGAGGGAGCTGGGCTGTAAGGCGGAACCCTGGGGGAGCGGCGAAAGGAGGTTCTGGAGGCGCGCACATTGCACGCAGAGAAGGGCCGGTTGGCTGTGCCTCGGGATTGCCCTGGCGGGAAGGAGACTGGGGCTCCAGACTGCTCTGAACGCCACCTCCAACTCCACTTCCAACTGAACTGAACCCCAGTTCCGGGCTCATTGGGGGAGAGCCTACACTGTTTGGTAGCAGGCGAAAATCGAGGGCACCTCACTCTCAGAGGTGCTTGCAGCGAATACTGAAGGACCCTGAGGAATACTGAGACTCAGGAGCCCCATAGGGCATGGCTGAGGGAAGCCAAGGTTGTAGGCTCCACCCTGAAACTCCGCCCCATCAGGGAAGCTGCGAAAATGCCGAGACAAGGAAATAGATCAGATACGAAAGAAATGGAGGACAAAATGCGACTGGATATAGAGTTCAAATCTATGCTTATAAGGTTTTTCAAGAATTTCCTAGAAAAGGTTGATAAGACCTATGAGGATATGAAAAGGGATCAACTAGAATTAATAAGGAATCAGTAAGAAATAATAAGTGCTCAATAAGAAATAAAGAATACATTTTCTGAAATAAAACATATTATACAGAGTCCTAAAAACAGAATGGAAGATCGCAAGAATCAAGTCAAAGATTTGGAACATAAAGAGCCAGAATATACTCCTCCGCAGAAGCAAGAAGGCAAGAGAATCCAGAAAATTGAAGATAATGTAAGAAACCTCTGGGACAACTTCAAGCGAACCAACATCAGAATTATGGGGGTCCCAGAAGATGAGAGAGCGCAAGATATTGAAAACATACTGAAAGAAAAAGTGACAGAATACTTCCCCTACCTGGTGAAAGAATTAGACTTACAAGTCCAGGAAGCACACAGAACTCCAAACAAAAGGAATCCAAAGAAGACCACACCAAGACACATCATAATTAAAATTCCAAGAGCAAAAGACAAAGAGAGAATATTAAAAGCAGCAAGAGCAAAGCAAGTAGTTACCTATAAAGGAGCACCTATACGATTGTCAGCTGATTTCTCAACAGAAACCATGCAGGCTAGACGGAAATGGCAAGAAATATTCAAGATGATGAATAGTAAGAACCTACAGCCAAAAATAATCTGCCCAGCAAAGCTATCACTCAGAATCGAAGGCCAGATAAAGCTAAAGGAGTTCACCACCACCAAAGCAGAATTATATGAAATCCTGAAGGGGGTTCTTTAGGAAGAGAAAGTAAATAAAGATAAAAATTATGAACAACAAATACATAACTATCAACAAGTGAATCTAAAAACCAAGGAAATTAAGAAAAAACCTGATGAACAATATAAACTGTTGAATATAATAGAATCAGAGATATGGAAGGGGAGTGAACTGACGATTCTTGGGGAAAAGGGGAGAGGGGGATGTGGGAAGAGACTGAACATAAACTGTGCACCTATGGATGAGGACAATGGGGAGTGGGGAAAGGGCAGAGGGTGTGGTGGGAACCTAGTGGAGGGGAGCAATGGAGGGGGAGGAAAAAAAGGAACATTTGTAATAATATGAACAATAAAGATTTCTTAAAAAACAAGAAATAAATTTAGTCAAATACAACTTGGATTGTCAATTATCTAGTAAAAGTAATAGTAATCAAGCAATTCTGTCATGTAGGAAATGATGAATGTCTACATTTAAATTTTTTTCTGAGTTTTAATTTACAACGAGATTTCCATTTTATTTGCTTTTTTACTTTTCAATTAGGCATATAGTTTGGACTTTGCTATAATACTATACTTAGTGTTCATATGGTGAAACTATTTTATGGGAAGATCATTCTTTAGACAGTCCTTGGGTTATGTCAGACTCAACATACGTCATTCTGTGGTTACAAAAAATCTCCCATTTATTTATTAAAAAAAAAAGTCATTTCAACATATGTGCTTTATATTTTTTATTATTTATTTACTATCAGTAAAGGTCAGGAATTGTTATCTTTAAATTTTTTTTTTTTTTTAACTATTTCACTTCATTGCCGCTGTGTATGTGCTTCTTGTGAGTGACTAGGTGCTTATGTAGGTGGGTTCCGTCTTTCGGCGAAAATCTCGTTACTTCTAGCTATAGGAATGGATCTCCGACATAACCCAAGGACCTACTGTAGTACAGTTTTGACATATCACTAATTAAGTCTATTTTGGTTAGTGTTAAGTAGATACTAGTATATTTTATAGTCTTGTAATAAGGTGCCTGTTTGTGTTTTTAAAAATTATTTGATTATCATCAGTTGGAAATAGTAATTTTTTAAATGCTGAAAACAAACAGCTATTTGGACCTTTGGGGACAACTAACCTGCTCAAACTTTTTTTTTTCTTCCTTTTTATTGAATTTATTGGGACAACTTTGATTAACCAAATTATACAGGTTTCAGGTGTACAGTTCCATAATACATCACCTGTACACTATATGTTTGTTTACCACTTTAAGTTAAGTCTTCTTCCATCACCTTTTATTTCCCTATCCTTCCAGCCTGCTTAAACTTTATTTTGGTTTTGTGTTTACAGATTAGAAAACGGCATTGTTTTGAAAAGGAAGTACATCATTTTGATACAAAAGTTACTCCAGGAAAGCCTACAAAACTCAGCTCTCCATTAAGGAAGATAAACTCCTTTTCTCCACAAAATGTATGTATTTATGCCATTGTTTAGTTTAAAGAAGGAGAATGTGGAATTTGCTAAATCCATGTTTGAAAAGAGGAAGAAGACTATAATGCAAAGAGCAGTAGAAAACCACTTGGAAGTCTAAGTGCTATCCATCTCTGCTACTAATGTATGAGATGGTAACCCTGTCCTCTCTGTGCTCCCTTTTCATCATTTGTAAAATGAAAGAAGGGGACTAGAAAGAGAACTGAAAGTTTTTTGTCTCTTTAATATTCTTATGTTTGTGAACCCCTCGTCCCTAAAGTTCTTTTAGTGTCCTTAGAGCATTAAAGTAGAACATCACCATTCTGATATTACTTTGTTCCACTATTTATAATCATTTTCTCTAGTGTTTATTTGTATTATTTTCTTTTTTCTTTTATTTTTTTTTAATATATATTTTATTGATTTTGTACAGAGAGGAAGGGAGAGAGATAGAGAGTCTTGAAACATCGATGAGAGAGAGTCATCGATCAGCTACCTCTTGCACACCCCCTACTGGGGTTATGCCCGCAACCAAGGTACATACCCTTGACCGGAATCGAACCCGGGACCCTTCAGTCCCCAAGCCGACGCTCTATCCATTGAGCCAAACCTGTCCCGGCTATTTGTATTATTTTTATTCCTTTAGCAAATCCTTGCAATGGGGGAGGTATTTTTACAGATACATTATTATGCTTATATTTACTTTTTATTTGTTTATTAAATAAGTGCTAACATTGTCTATATACCTTTACAAAAGTGATACATTTTATTTTGTGAAGTGGTAGCATGTATTATTTTAATTTATCACTTTCGCTTAGTGTGTAGAGAAGACTTAGGTCCAGCAGAGAGCGCTGTTGACCTTCAGATAAAGTATTGTTGGGTAAAGCCTTGGACTTTTATTTCTCCTTTTTTCATCTTAATTCCTGCCTTTTCTTTTTTTCTGTCTCTGTCTTTGACTCTGTCTCTGTCTTTCTCTTCCATATTTTCTTCTTCCCTTTCTTTCTCTTTCCTTCTTCCCTCTCTTCAATATTTGTCATGTTCTTTAGGATCTCAGGAGGAAATGACCAATTTTCTTTGAAAAGTATTTTACAAATCATTTTCTCATAATTTTAATTTACTTTTCTTTAATATAGCTGTTTATGTAGTGATATGATGTTTACTATGTGCCAGAAACTCTTTAAAGCACTGTAGAAATATTAGTTTACCTGATAAATACAGGTTCCTGTGAGTTAAAAGTTAGTATAGGTCTTTTAAATTTTCTGTGCATTTGATAGTTTTCAAAATAAGTTAAAAGAATTTAACTCAATTTTTATAACTCAATGAAACCTGTCTGATGAAGAAATTAAGGCACAGAACATTTAAAATGTTTATGTCACAAAACTGATGAGTAGAGGCTGGTTTAAAATAAAACCCAGGCCATCAGCTCTAGAATTGATCCTCTCAACAACCTCACTATTCTGCCTCTGAATAAACTGTTTGAGATGACTTTTGGGGAAAAGGTAGTTCATTTTTATGCAGTTACAGGTCATATTATATGCAATACCATATAGACAGTTCATTTAACTTAGGTCCTCTTTTCAGTCTCTCTCTCAGCATCCTGCTCTTTATCATGTTTAACAAAGTTTCTATGTTTATTTGTAGGCTTAATTGTTTAGTTTGCCTCCTTGCCAGCGTCTCCATAAGGACAAATAGGATGGCTTTCTTGTTCACATTTTATAACCAGCATCTTTCACAGGACCTGTAGCTAATAGACTTACATGTTTGTTGAATAAATGAATGGGAAGAAAAAGGGGGCCAAACTTAAGGATGTGTACAACTCACCACTATTGTGGCTTATAGCTTTTACTCAGATCCATATACTTCAGAAGGGGTGACTGTGCTATTAAATAGAGGCAACTTAAAGCAGGTTTGAAAATATTTTCTTTTTCTTCTATGGCTCATTTTGGTTGTAGCATACAAAAATAAAAGATCAAACAATGATTTCAGGGACCAACAGGCAAATTGGTGCTTAATATAAACAAAAGATTAGAAATAATTTTAAATTTCTATAGCTGTTCTCAGAACAGGTTGTTAAATAATATTACCAACTAGTTGAAGTATAATATATTCAAGGCAGACAAATTTTTGAACCTATTATATGCCAGACACTTAATTAGATACATGGAACAATCTGACAGCCGTCAGCAGGTGCAGGAGGGCTGGATGAAAGAAGGTGAAGAGATTAGCCCAAGAACACATATGCATAACCCATAGACACAGACAAGTGTGGTGATGGCCAGAGAGAAGGGGGGCTGGGTAGAGGTGGACAAAGGGGGAGAAAATGGGGAAAATTGTATTAGTGTCAACAATAAAAATAAAGTTAAAAAACCACCAGTAACCTGTATTTCATAAAGTTATCTTTATATATAAAAGGCTAAGACCATCCGTGTGTCCGTCTGACTGTCCGACCAACCGGCTGGTATATATGACACGCACTGGCAATTTAAAAATGTTGACTTGCACATGTGTGATACATATTAAGCTCTTGCTGGTACCAATCGTGTGTGTGCGTTTCAATCTGTCATCTATTGTGAATTTGGAACACCATAGATAGATTACTAAGAGAAATTATGAATTTGAATGTTGCATTTGGTGAGAAAGTTCTCCTTCTCAGAGGAGATTTTTGACAATGTCTCAGTGTTGTGCCGCTTGCTATGTAATGGGCCATAGTACAAACGAATTTAAAACACTGTAGTGTTTGGGGATGTTTCAGACAATTGTACTTAAACAAATATGAGATCAGAGGATTTTGCTTATAGCGAATGATTAGTAAAACTTGGAGATGGCAAACTTGATAGCAGTTTTCCTTCAGGAATGGATATTATTGAAATCTCATGTGAAATGATTTGTAACGAATCTATTATTGAAGCTACCTTTGGAAATAGTATATTTATAGGTAATATTAAAAATATATCTAAATATGCGATTCTTTGTTCTAAAAATGAGCATGTTCATAAATTAAATGAAGAAATTTTGGATATACTTACTGGAGATTTTCACACCTATGAGTGATGATGCCATCGATTCAACTGATGATGCTGAAAAGGAAAATTTTCTCATAGAATTTCTTAATAGTATTACTTCATCGTGAATGCCGTGTCATAAGTTAAAATTGAAAGTAGGTACAATTATTATGTTACTGAAAATCTTAATAGTAAATGAGGTCTTTGTAATGGTACTGGATTTATTATCAAAAGATTGTAACCTAACATAATTGAAGCTAAAGTATTAATAGGATCTGCAAAAGGAGAGGTTGTTCAGATTCCAAGAATTGATTTGTCCACTGGCCTCCCATTGAAATTAATTCGAAGACAGTTTCCCGTGATGCCAACATTTCCTATAACTATTAATAATTCACAAGGACACACTCTAGACAGAGTAGGAATATTCCTATCTATTCCTGTTTTCGGACCTGGTCAGTTATATGTTGCTTTCTCTTGAGTTTGAAGAGCATGTGTGTTAAAGTTATAGTTGTAAATACTTCATCACAAAGGAAATTATTCAAGCATTCTGAAAGTGTTTTTACTCTTAATGTGGTATACAGCGAGATATAATCAGTTTAATCAATTTATTAGTCATTGTTTTTATCAATGTTGTTTTATACCATGTTTTTGTTTTTATATCATATTTTCTTATATGTTTTTATTGTTTTATTGTATCATATCTTTGTTATATTATGTTGTTTATTAATCAATTTATATATTATTTTTATATACATTTTACTAATTTTCTTTAATCTCTGACACTTCTATTATAGATAAATGGTGAATAGTGGTATTAAAACATTTCTTTAATTAATTTCCTTTCTATGTGCACAAATCTGTGCACTGGGCCACTAGTTAATAATGATAACTAGTTAATGATAGCTTTTTGGAATATATACTTGTACCAATTAATTTTATGTTTTCTCATTTATTTTTTATATCAGTACTATGAGGAAAGTTGAGCAGATATTAGTCCCATTTTACACATAAGAAAATTGAAGCTTGAAAATATTAGGTTATTTGACTATAGTCATACTGCATGTAAATAGTGGAACCATAATTTGAGCCTACTTCTAAAATTGAGTGAATATGGATTCATGATTATAAATGTGGGGAAAGGAGAGAAAAAGAATGACTAAGAAAAAAATGTTTTTGTTGGCTGGTAAGGAAAAAACAAAAGTTACTGTGCAAAATAAAATAGGTTTTATTATTCAGTATGCCTGGCATCAAAATATCTTCCTTTAAATAGTCAACCTACAGTTGGGAATATATAAAATTATCTTAAACATTCTTTTATTTTTTTCTACTAAAGAATCAAAGGAAATTTAAAATTCAAATTAAAAAATTGTTTGCACAACCTTTAACAATATAAATCAGTACAGAGTGAAAATTAAAATATTCTTTCTTGAAATATTGCTCCCACACCGCTTTTTGCTTCCCAGAAGTAAACAGCATAAATACTTTTATGAGAATCTTTCTGAATATTTTTGTATAAATTTACAACAGATTATTTTTCATGGTTCTGTTATAGTTTACATTTAAAAAAACAACAACATTTAACCCTCTTATTTATAGGGACTTATTTTAATTCATGCACTGGAGGGGGAATCCCTTAGCCTGGCCTGCCCCCTCTCACAGTCCAGGAGCCCTCAGGGGTGGGAGGTGACCTGGCAATCAGGGGAATGCGACACCCCTATCACGCCTCTGCTTCTGCCACTGCCGGCAGTGCAAGCCTTGGCCAGCCCTGATTACCTGAGCCTTGGGCAGCCCTAGGCAGCTGGGGAGCTAAGAGGACTGGGAGACTCTGGAGGCAGGTGTGCCTGCTGCCCCAATAGGGCTGAGGGGACTGGGCACTGCTATCTTGTGGCCGTGGGTGCCGCCATCTTTGAGAGTGTGACAGTCAATTAGCATATGCTCTCCTTATTGGCTGTGGGCACTGCCATTTTTGCCACAGCGTGAGGGTCAGTTAGCATATTC